TATGTGATCCTCGTATTGATGTCATAATGACTGTTTTAGAACAATGCTTTGATGGTGTAGTTACTGGTAGTGCCAGGCTGGTGCTTACAGCTTTATATGTCTGCACTTACCTACCATGGCACACTTCCTCTTTGCCCCCTTCTTGCCTCTAGCTCACGCTCATGCCTGAGGAAATCTACCTACAGAATATCAACACTTTTTAAGTACAGTAGTCACATTCCAATGAGCATTGACGTTTTTGGAACAGATTGGCATTATCAGTAGTTGGCATAACCTTTTCCAAGTAGGAATGCCAATTGAATAGTAAATGCACAGCTTTTAAAGTAAGTAATGTTGCTCACATGTAAGTTTGGCTGTGAAATACTGCAAAACTGAAAGAAAAGACATGTTGAGCTAACTGAATGCACTTTCCACTATAAACACTGAACAGGGGAAAATCGCACTCTCAGCAAAAGTCAAAACAGCTTGAGTCATGGCCCAATACAGCACATATAGGTCTGGATGAAGGCAAGCTGTAAAAAATCTCATATACCTGTACTCCATTTCCTTATGCAACAAGTGAGGAAATAAAAGCCTTGCTCAATGTGGAAGTATCTACAATTTGCAATACATGTATGTAACTTGTAGGATACTTTCAATCCCAGTCTGTTACCAGTTGTGCTCAGAGTTTACAGTAAAGTGCATTATAGTGCAAGGCATAAATATGGCCTGTGGGTAGCCTCCCTCACCAGCATTTACCCCTGTTTCCCACATGCTCCACTGCTAATGGTCATGACCTGTCTTCTCCCCTCCCCACTCTCTCCTGCTGCAGGACCCCAGTATGATAGATGATGGGTTTGAGGTGTTCATCTGATGTGAGTCTCAGGGTGGGCAGTGTTGACCATGTGTTGTGTTGTGTTGTGTTTGTGTTTGCAGTAATTTATACCAGCTTTTGCCTTGTTGTTTGCTGCATGGCCTGTTCAGCAAAGGAAAGAAAAATAGAACTGTGATTTTTATTTCCTTCCTCTACTCTTGACATATGGCTCAATATGCATGTCTTCATTGGAGAATTGTAATTCCTGAGTATACTGTTTTGATTTAAGTTGAAAGCATGCCTGGTTGCAAGTTTGAGAAAACCATCTTACAGTTGTCAAAGTTGTGATAAAGACATGTTCTGCGTGCATGTTGTGCTTGTTTTCTAGTTCTAGTTTGCCTTCTTGCTTTACTTAGCCTAATTTTTTATTCTTTGTCTCTCGCTTTAGCATCCTATTTTCCAATTTAACAGAGCAAGTTTTCATTTTTCGTTTTATTTTCTTTTAACTTTTATGATTCAGAAATGTTTTGATTTACTATTTCAATTACTTTGTTACCTACTATGTTCTTTACCAGTTCTTGTTTCCCCCTACATAGACCAGCTCAGCTCGTCTTCAAGAAGATTCCAGTCCATCATCACCCCAACACACAGCAGAAAAGGATGACACAGCCCAGCGGGACGTCCCTAGCCAGGCGGAGATGTCAGGCACTGTAGATAGTCTTCAGCAAAACCCCCCAGCCAACCCCCGGGTCTCCACTCTGTCCTCTGATGACCGGGAGGTCACCACCAACACGCCTCCCCTCAGCGACATGCAGCCGGTGTTCTTCTCTCCAACCCACTCCCCCTCTCCTGTCAGTGCAAACACACAGCTGACGTCGCCAGAAAAAAGGCACAGTTGTACCATGAACTCCTCCTTTCTTGTAGATATCAAGTCTTCTCCTTCAGACAGTTCGGGGCTGTATCAGACGGCTTTTACTGACATTAGTCAGCTTAGTGCTAGTGACTCCAATGGAGGCAAGGAGACATGGACTTCCCCATATTCCATAAGGGTGTAAAGCAGGCCGGAATATCTTGCTAACAGTGTCAGTAACTGTGTTACCATGGCTTTGTACTTACTGTAGCTGTTCCCATTTTAAAGCTATTCCTCTCACATTGATGAAGTGTGAAATTATAGCACTGGGAGTATTTTCAGGAAGAAATGTGTATGCTGAGTTTTAAGACAGTGCTATACTTCTGTGAAGACTACATGTTGTTTTTGCCAGTTCAAACAGTATTACATGGTCGAACACATGACGACACCCCTAAGAGTACTACAACAGTCTATACGGTATACCACTACTGAAACTTCCTTGTACTTAAGAAAGGCCTGAGGAGTATACAGAGTACTTGCAATTCAAACTATTTTTTATCACCGTCATTCCATGCTGCTTGTGATAAATGGCCAAATCCACATTTGTGCCAAGTTATTGACATTACAATTAATGTTACCAGTTTTTGTTGTCAGGTCAGATAGTACTGGTATTTACAGAGGTGCTGCAATGCCTGTTGTCACACTCACCAAGCAATTCATCTCTTGTCACAGATTATACCTCACAGTATTACAGGTACCTAGGATAATTTTTACTTCTCCACTCCAGTGTCTGTCTGTTTAAACTGAATGAAGAAACCTTTTCTCCTTGTACCAAGTTAAAGTAAGAAACGGTTCCTTGATTTAAGTTGACTTTCTTTTGCAAGATAAAGCATTCATTATCTTGTAAGAGGGTAGATGTGTTAAACCAACCTTGGTTGATACTTGGACACTGAGATATCAACTCCTACAGTATTTATAGTTCATTAATTTTTTGTCATAGCAGATATTCTGACTGGTATTTATAATCAGAGTGGTGCTACAATCCCTTTTGTTGTCACATGACATATTTTCCAAACATTTCATCTCATTCACAAGTTATACCTCATGATGCTTACAATGTATAGCCCTGTGTCAGGATTGAATGTGTGCCCAGAATAGATTGACCCATCATTTTCTTTCGACAAGAATTTGACTTTGAAGCTAGCCACTGAGAATTCAGTTTTTTTTTTCCTGTCGGACTATGCTCCCATGTCAGATGTGTTTACAAAGAGGCAATGTTTGTTTACAATTACATGTACATAGCAACAACTGGATGATTAAGAAGAGGATTTTGACAGTATTACCAACTGTATTACTGCTTCCAGTATTATAGTCATCTCACGACATAAGCCATCAAGCAGAATTGTTATCATGTATTGTGTAGGTCTCCCGCCAGGTGAACTTCATCATGAAACCTTTTCAGTCCCATTTTCTTTTTACTTTGAATTACAGAAAAGGTTTCAGGATGGGGAAACCATGTCTTTCCAAGGTTTGTGACCGAGTTTTAAAGAAGCCTTGTGAAAGACTAGATAGGTGATCCTAAGTATGCAACATGCTGTTATGAGTCAGTGTTAGCAGAGATTTTTTGACATCAATCCTACTTTGCTAAGCAAAAGCCATGTAAATACAAGTTTTCTGTAGAGACCTCAGGATGAAGAATCTTAGTTCTCAAACATTGGTGATTGGGCAAAAGATTTATTACCTAGGTGGAAGGAAAAAAATTTGTACTTCATTCATGTTTCAAAATCAAATTAAGAAACCCTTTCTTGTCCAAATTAGCAGTAAGAAAAGGTTTCTTGATTAAGTTTATTTCTGAACATGGTGATACTTTTCTTATCTTCGACTTGTAAGAGTGGTACATGTAGGCTTTGCGATTTCCAACCAACCATGGGTAATTGTTTGTTACCACGAAGACACTCTCCATCGGCATTGCCAGATTTCTCCTTGCATTTCTTTTGTACAACATAAGCTTCACAGTAGATTTGCACTCATAAGGATGTTATCTATCAATGAAGAAAAGTTTTACATTTGTGTATATATTATATATATAGGGTGAGAGGTCACTTTTGTTTCAAAACCAGTAGGAGGTTTCAGTCCCCATATCTTGCCTCCTTACCTGTAAATTATGTACAGTTCGTGGTGCTATAGTATTATAGATCTAGCATGCAACCAAACATTATGTGCAATTTATTAAAGGTTGCTGTTTTTGTACTACATAGTGAGCACTGGTGTTAAGTTAAAGGTTTATCTTAACTTTCATTGTTTGTTATATATGCCACCAAGAGGACTATTTGAGTTACCTTTTATCCATATATTTCTTTGTACTTTGTATACCTACCTACAAATAAATATTTTCATATTATCCAGATATAAAGGTATTACAATGTGTTCTGGTGATTCTTTTGTATGGTGATATGTTAAATCTTGCCATTCCTCACTATTTCATGAAGAAATATGTTTGGGCATGTGGGAATTGTATCAAGATGATACCAACTTTTGATACATGTAGGAACTATGCTGTAGTAGTACATATTCACTTAAAACTTAAATATTCAGTTACAGTCGATAGGAATTGTTTATTCCCCATTCCAGTACCATAAATGGTCAACTTTATTTACCTGTTAAAAATAAGAGAATGCAATGAAGGAGAAACAGATCTGATTTACTGGTAGTCAAAAACCTTTACTTTTCCTCAATCAATGTTATTTGCTTTACCTCTGCACATAGTTGTTCAGTTCATCAATAACATATGGTACTTGCAGTGTCAAAGATTTCCTAAAAGTAGGTAGATTCTTAAAACCAATGTAGACAGAACAGTGAACATAATGTTCAGCACATGATAAAAAAACAAATGCTCTGGCATAAAAGATGAAAGCATATTCTTTCACACAGACAAATTAAAATGCATGTTAAATACATTGTTAGCTACTAAAATTTGATAAAAATTGCTCATTTCGGATCAACATTTGTAGCCTGTAGGCCATCCTAGTTAGACTGGTAAACTAAGATAGCACTAAGGCTCAAACAATACAAGCAACCCAGTAACAACATTATACACTAATATGAGAAGTGTGACAACTTGCACATCATAAATACATAAACATGAAAGGCTAACAGATAGACATCTGGTGTCAAGGTGAAGCACAGCCTCAGCAGTGAGAAATTTTATGGTCACCACCAAGACAAAGTCTTTAGCTACTGTTTGAAAAGAAGCCGTGACTGAGGGCTGCTTCTGCAGTGATGCGTGTATCGGGGTTCAGGTCCAACAGCTTCTCTAGCAAGTCGAATGCAGAGTCAGGCACGTTGTCCCAGCCCTTATTCTTCTTCCCTCTTGCCAGCCCCTCTGCCTGTTTTGTAGGAGCAGGGCTAGACTTATGTCTGTTCTGGTTGGGTGAGCTCCTGCGACCGCCAGTCAGAGATTGGCTGGGAGAACCTTTGCTGTCTTGATACATCCTGCTGCCAAGGCGCAGTCTCAAGCATGTGTCCTTTAAGTCCATAGGTGGGATGGTTGGAGTAACATACAAGTCTTTATGATAGGCTTTGGCTGCGCTAGCCACCTCCCGGCTTCCCATGAGGGCTATGATCTGTGCAAGGGCCTGCATGTCATCTTTGGCTCGGAAAAAGGGGTAGCGCCCGCTGAGAAGAGACAAGAAGATGACTCCAGCAGACCAGATGTCCACTGATGTTGTCTGTTTCGGACACTTCAGGAGCACTTCTGGGGCCCTGAAACCCGGGGTGCCGGCACGTGGAGCGACCTGGTGGTGTCTGGATGTGCAGAGTCGGCAGATGTCAGGTGTACCTGAGCAGGAACAAGCAGGCTGAGACGCTTTCTGTCGTGTCCTGTCCTTCACTGTGATTCTCATCTTCTGTTGCTGACCCGCCGTTTTTGCTGTGAGGGCCATCAAGGAAGAGTTTTGGCACTGTTTGAGAGCTGCCTTCTTCAGCAGAGCACTAGCTTTTAGCTTTGCATTTGGGAGGTTGGCCCTAGCTGTCTGCTTTTCGTGCAGGACATTAATATCCCTCTGCTTTGGTGCAAGAACAGATGAATTGGGTAGCGGGGCCAGTTGTGCAGCATTTTCCCTCTTACTACCACTAGTGCGGGCCTTCTTCTTGGCTGGTGAGGACGAGACTGCAGACTCTGGACGACTTCTTTTCACTGGTGCAGGGTGCTTGTCTGATGTCTTCTGTTCTGGCTGGGCCAGGCCAAAATCAACAAGGCTGTATTTCTTCTCCATGCGGCTGTACAAGAAGTTGCTGGGCTTGACATCGCGATGTATGATCCCAAACTGATGAACCTGCCGCAGTGCAATCAAGAGGTTCTCCATGTAATGTCTGACCTCGTTCAAACTCATCTTTGGCAGGTACTCGTGGAAGCTCTCGTGTGGGAAGTAGGGCATGCCCACCACAAAGCTGTCTTCTCCCCTCACAGCAAACAGCATGCCCATGACATTGTCTTTCCCCCCGATCTCCTGCAGGCAGTGCAGCTCTGTCTCCATCCTGTCGGGATGGCTGGTGGGGATGATGTGTTTGAGGGCAAAGTGCCTTTTCAGCCGGGGCATCTGCTTGAGCGTGGCCAGGTACACGCTGCTGAATGTACCTTCCCCAATCTTCCTCACGATGGAGAAAGAGTCGTTGATCTGCGGGATCTGTTCCAGTAGCCGGGACACCTCCTGGTTCAGGGCCCAGCTCCGGGTCTCCTCGGCCAGGGACAGCTTCACCTGCTTCTTCATCTTCTTTCTTTCCTCTGTTTCCTCATCCTTGATGTCTACAACCGGCAGCTTTACTTCTGGTGTGGTACTCATCTGGGTGGAATGATAAAATTATCTAGGAGTTATGATGGCTCGTGGGCCGTAGTAGTGGAAAATAATTTATTATACTGTAGTTCAAAAGCCTTGATGTTACATCTAGACCTCCTAGACATTATAAACAACTTGGCTAGTGCTTCGTGTGACTGGAAACAGGCTCATTTCTGAACATATTACCTGATATCCCCGTCCAAGCCTACAGTACACCGCAAATTATAATTTTTGTCGACTACTGTCTGCAGACTACACTGGTCAGCTAGTTCGATTTGATCATATCATGTAATCATGTATTATTATTTGCTACTAGCCTTGATTTTCTACATTCGAAACACAATCTATCCACGATCACATGTACAGATACACTGTGTCTTTCGTGGAAGGATTAATTATACTGATGTCCAGCAAATATGATTGCGCGCGAGTTTGAGCTGATCACCCCCCTCCCCATTTATACCGGAAAAATATTCTGTCAAAACATATCCTCGCCTCGGTACAACCTTTGGCCAACAGCTAATTTTGTCCTACAATAACCACGTGTCAAGGCTTAGTGATATTTTAACCAAAGAATTTATATTTTGAGGAAAAGTAACCCTAAAATACTCACAGTCTTCGTGACTCGAGCAGAGCCAGGCAATCTCTTGGCGGCAAACACACAACAGAATTTCCCGCCAGATTTGTAAAGCATCATGGGAAATTGACCTCAATAATTTCCAGAAATTATTCTCAGAAGTTGGAAAGTGTTTAATATTTTTGCCAAAAAGTATAAAACTCTCAATAGTATTTGAAGCAAACTATTGAAATAGTAAATGGATGGAGAAAAATACATTTTAGGTCAAGGGTCATGTCAAATGTCACAACATGGCGGATGTTTTGAAAGATTGTGAAAAACGTGCTATGATCTAACAACTTTTAAACAGCCAACAGCTCATTAAGAAGCAATTTTACTATGAAATTCATACGATCCTTACGGTTACTACACAGTGGAACTGCGAAGAGTCTACTTGCCGGTGGGTTTGAAGAGCAGGGAAGCAGATTTCACCAGGCGCACGCGAGGCAGAGGTTACTCTTTTCAGCACGAAGATGTCAAATTATTGGTGGTAGATGGGAGCATTATTGTACCTCTCCATCTGTGACCGTACAGCCTCCGATTGCAAAAAAGAAAGAGGAGTACATACGTACTCATGGGTATCGTGTAGAGGACCCGTACAGATGGATGCAGGATCCGGAGGACAAGGTGATTTCAAGTTCAAAATTTACTCCAGCTTTTGTCATAATTTTATAATCACCGATATAACGTCTTCAATTTCAGGCAAATCTGTTTGGTTTGATAGTTATGTGGGGTAAGCGCCCAAAATTCTGTCGATTGTGTACATAGGTTCCTAACTTTTTTTCCTTTCTGCCATTATTACAGGACGTCTGGAAGTACATTGAAGAAGAAAATATGTGAGTATGAAAGATTAGATGATGATCTAAAAAAAATCCTGCATTATTGTCAAGGCCTTCCCACAGTTTTAGACACATCGCTTGTAGTGTTTTTTTTATATGATGCAGCTTAATGTAATATTTACCATCTCTGCACTTGCTACCTGTAGTTACACATCTTCCATGATGAAAGATACATCTGAAATGCAAGAACAACTTTTGGATGAAATGGAAGACTGGTCCCATCTGGATGCCATGAGTGGGGATGATTTTGAGGTATGTGCATTACTTTAGGAAAACTTAAATGCAGCTGTTGACATTGGATATAATTATAAAACATGATCACCTATTTTTTTTCCCAGCATGGGAATAATAGTATTAGATTGTACTGAATTTTTGCATCACGGCAGTAACATATTTTCTAGATTTCCATGCTATACTATTGTTCTTAGTTATGTTTCATATATATATAAGTTATATTTTATTACAGGTAATCGGTGATTATGTGTACTATACAAAGTCAGGAGGTGGGGAGGACTACCCAGTCTACTGCAGAAGCCCTCTGGATTCAGGTTGGCCTGCATTTCAATAACTTGAATAAGCTAATCAGATGCTGACCCTGATGTTGTTGCAGGAAGACTTACTAGCCAATCATCTCACCACCTTCAGTCAAGAAGCAACATGATTGGCTGGTAGCTTCAATTCAGCAACGGGAAGGAAAGCATCTCAATGGATGACAGCTGGCTAGCACTAACAAAGGGAGAAGCATGGGTAGTAGGCCAGATTGCCAACACCATGATTTATTGACACCTACAAACAGACTGGTCTTGGCATGAAAGAATGTTCTCAGCATTGATACGTTGTAAGTTGAGAAAAGATAACTTGATTAACATCCATCTAGAAAGTGTGAATTCAGTTGTAATTGTGTTCTTTTGTCACAGATGAAGATGACCCACCCGAGGAAATAGTGCTGGATGTGAACCACTTAGCCGATACCTTTGGTTACCAGCAGGCCAGAGTGAGTGTGCTGAAGTTGTCACCTGGATCCACACACCTGGCCATCACTGTGGAGACTGACTCTGCAGACAGCTTTGTTGGGCATATTGTGAAAGTTGGAGCTCAAGATCAGCTTGTGTACTTGAAGACCATTCCTGATATATTCAACATTGGTAAGTATGCTCTACCATGGCTACATGTATGTTTACAATAGTAAATGTGTAAATATTTGTGAATATTGTTTAAGTGATTCAACCATAACAAAAATATGAGGAAGACCAAAGTGACTGGTCAAAAGCTCCAGGTGAGAGAACTTTTTTGTGTTGGATCAAAAGTCTTAACTTTAAACAAAAATATGGCAGGTGGATATACTTAACATGTAACTTCAGGCACTTCCTTTCATCTGTCTTATATTTCAGAATGGATAACAGATGATGTCATCCTGTACACCAAAGCAGAGAACCTTCGTGCCTGTCAGGTGTGGAGGTGTGTTATCGGCCAGGCTGACAAGGCTGATGAGCTGCTGTATCAGGAGAATGATGACAGGTACATACGGTTACTAGTATATGACATCACCATGATATCAGGAATATGTTCATCATAGTGAGTTTTTACGTGTACATTGCAATAAAAGATGTCAGCTCACCATTCTGTGCTTCAGGTATTTTGTAGATGTGAGCCACACGAAGGACAGGAAGTTTGTGACCATCAACAGTAACTCCAAGACAACGTCTGAGGTTAGGGTGGTGAGTTCCTCATCACCAATGGGAGAGCCCTGTCTGGTGCAGGGGAGGATAGAGGGGATGGAATACTATGTGGAACATCATGGGGGAAAATTCTTCTTCCTCACCAACCAAGGAGCTGCAGCTGATTACAAGGTTTTTATTTTCAAGCATGAGTGAAAATGTGAATATCTTTAACTTATCTATAATGGAATTGAGATGCCAAAAAAGATCTGAGCTGTGGTCATGTAGGACAAACAGATTTTATCCAAACTGAAGGAGGTTCTGTTCAACCTGTCTGCAAAACTTCACTCGTCATCATCAATTGTCAATACTGAGATAATGGCATTAGTGCTACTGACCATTATTTCCATTGTCAGGATGGCTTGTATGTAAGTTATATGTACAAGCCTTTCCCCTATGCTACTAGCATGTAGATGAGACTGACAACGGTATCTCCCTGCACCAGCTGATGTGTGCTCCAACCAACACAACCTCCTCATCAGATTGGACAGAAGTGGTGCCTCCCAGACCAGGTGGGAGAGTGGTGGACATGGACATGTTTCACCAGGGATGTGTCCTGGCTGAGAAGAGGGGAGGGGTGCCTGCCATCACTGTTGTACCTACAGGCAGGGCTGAAGACACTTACTCCTTCAAGGTGATAATGCTGAGAAATATGACATTTGATAATAATAGTTTGCCACTGCCATTCATCTTAGAATCACATTTGTATTGCTTGGGAGAAGACATTGGACATTACAATATAGACATTAACAAATATATCAAATCCCCTCACCGTTCTTTAAGATCAACCCCCCAGTTCAAACTGCAGCCGGAAAAGTGTCTTACCACAACATTCCAAAATTCCTACTTTCAAAGAATAGTATACATATGGAACGCATTACCAGTTAACACCAGGTCTCTTAAAGCAAGTCCAAACGTCTCATTTCTTACCTTTAGAAAGTTCGTCCTCAGTCACTATCATCACCTTTTGTCCGACATATTTGATCCTGATAACATTTACACCTGGCATACCCTATGTTCTTTGACTCCACTATTTGCTTTCTTATCATTATTATTAGCGTTCTTATTGTCGCTATTTTCATTTGTTCACTTATATTTTATGTGTCCGTGGGCATGTTTTTATTTGTTTGTCATTGGTTATTATTGTTTCTTGTTTTATTTTTGTATGTTTGCATAAGTCTTTGGTGTTGCTTTAATTGTACTTTTTATTCTATTATGTTTTTAATCTGGACAGGGGGCTAAGACAAAGGCCAGACCTGTTCCCCCTGTCCAATTACATACTCTGTAATGTAATGAAGCTCAAATAAATAAATAGATAAATAAATAAAAGACATTAGAGTCATAGAGTCATGATAATTTTATTGTTATGTTGGTTGCAATATTCTGATGAACTTGCTAAATATGAACAAAATGGACCAACTTTGTTTCATGTAAGAAGTGAGTCTACTTTTAAAAGTACAATTTCTTTTCAGATATAAAATTGTCAATAGATGGACATCTAGATTACACTAACATGTTTTGTTGTAATTTTTTATGGGGATTTTATTCACTGTAGTTACCAACATGGGCCTGTGTGATCAAGCCTGGTGCCAACACCACAGCAGACAGCTCCGGCTACAGGTTCACTCTGTCCTCCCCCATCCAGCCTGAGGTGGAGTATGAGTTCCACCTGCCAACCAGACAGCTCTGGAAGCAAACAACAGAGGGTTCTCCTGCAGTATCAGATCAGTATGTCATGCACAGGCTCATGGCAACAAGTCAGGTACATTGTTAAACAGTGCCCTGAAGAATGCTCCTTCTGCTTTTTTGATGTTGAGATTTGCCTCTGAATGAAAAAAAGGTAGAATAAAGTTACAATTTTTAATTTTTACAAATACAAAAAGATACATGTATTATACCCCTATCTGTTCAATGATACAAAGAAAACTTCCAGTTCAAAACCAGGGTATACCTATTATAAATCTTATAGGATGAGTAAAACAAGTTTAAAGTGCAGGAGTATACAAGTAGAAGATGAGTGGTTTGATTATCAACTTAGACACAATGTTGTTAGAAGATTTATCAGACTCACATATGACCTTATTAGGATGGGACCAGTGTTCCCCTGACTGTGTTCCACAAGAAGGGTGTGGAGCAGACAGGGAAGAACCCACTACTGGTGTATGTCTATGGTGCGTATGGTGAAGATGTCAACATGAACTTCAGCTCTGAGAGACTGGTACTGTTGGAAAGAGGATGGGTGCTGGCTTTCTGCCATGTCAGGTGAGAGGTTACATGCTGATCCAAACATGTACATGTAAAAACATTGACGAGAACTGTCACTTTTATTCGGATAATGTCAAAACATTTGGTGGTGTCAATATGGACATGTGCAATTATCAGTTGCAGGTATTGCAGTGGTCTTTTGTATGGTGAAGATGAAAAGAGAGAACAGGTATCACTGCATTGTAATTTCATTTCTGTTGTTTTGTTACTGTACACTTAGAGGTGGAGGTGAGCTTGGGAGGCAATGGTACCACAATGGCAGACTGTTGAATAAAGACCAAACCTTTAAGGTAGTGTGTTTCTCAACTTTTTCGTGGATTGTTATCATATACAACTTCCCATCAATCATGCACAAAAAAACAAGAAAAGTACAATACCTATATGTATATACTATCACATCTTGCCAAGCTTCTATATTTATGTATTTTTTTTATGTATAAATTTATTCATTTTTATACCTCCTGCCTTTCTTGATACATACCAATCTTTTGATGACCAACATGCCAAGGCTCGGCTTAAGGTTTATCCCGTTATGTCTCCAGGATTTGGAAAGCTGCATTTCCCACCTGCATGGAGCGGGCTACTCCTCCCCTGGTCTGACTGCAGCCTGTGGCACCAGTGCAGGGGGTATGGCAGTGGCTGCTCTGTGTAACAGGAGTCCTGGCCTGTTGGCTGCTGCAATCATGAAGGTATTATGAACAACAGTAATCTGTGCTCAAAAGGTCACTTTCATAAGAATTCTAAGGGACAGCAGGCCCGTTACATAATAGAATAGCTACTACCAACTGGAACTGTTTCGCCCCTCATCAGGTGCCCTTTGTAGATGTGCTGGGTGCAATGCTGGACAGGTCCCTCCCCCTGACTGCACAGGAGTTCCAGGAGTGGGGTGACCCTGGGACACACCCTGATGTCTTCAACTACATCAAGGCCTACTGTCCTTACCACAATATAAAACCTCAGGTAGCCTGGAATGGATGTGGATTCTAAAATGATCTTTGTTATAAGGAAACTGAATGTCTGAGACACCAGGTATTGTAAGACAAATTGTTACTATCTGTTTTATAAATGGATAGAAAAAAATACACTTCTTGTGACATTCAAGTTCATGGATGGATTTTTCATCTTGAAGGGAAAGTCTTGACTGTATGATTTGCATATTGATACATTATATCGATAAATTATATATATTTTAAGATTACAGGCAGTTTCTACATGTAATTGAAACACAACACACCCGGTTTTCAGCAAAACATTAAAACCTGTACACAACACAAGGGATTGACTTTTAGTTGTTATATTTTCAGAGCTACCCTTCTATGTTGGTGACAGCTACTCTAGACGATACAAGGGTGCCGTACTGGAGCCCACTTAAGTATGTTGCAAAACTCCGAGGCCTTCAGCAGCTGACTTCTCTTCAGTCATCCAACACTCAGGAAAGAATGACAAGTACTGACCAGACTAAACACAGCAATGACATTAACCTCCATAGAAATTTCCTTATCCTACAAGTACATGAAAAGGGTGGTCACTTTGGTCATGACAGCCAGGCTGTTGATTCTGAACAGGTCAGTATATGTATAATGTATTCACTTGCTTGTAAATTTATCAACTTGTCATGCAGATTTTTATGATTAGTGATATATCATGCATCTTATACAGCTGTATCATATTGCTTGACACAGACCTCATACATTTTTATCTTCTCTTTCCAGGCTGCATTTGAGTATGCATTCTTGTACAAGGCTCTTGGGCTTTCGATGACATGATGGAAGATCATTCAAAGAAATCCTCAGCATACTTTCCAGCAAGTTGCTTTAAACTTTGCTTGAATAACCTGACCACACTGTCCTTCTCTCATGTAAAAATTGTTGAGAGTAATACAAAGTTGTGAGTGGAACATGCATGACACCACCGCATGTATCTGCATGTTCTCCTTTGATTAAGTAGCTGGTATTGACTATTTCAAAGAGGATTTTAATGTTGGATTTTAGAAGGCTTATTGTCCTGTGTGGTAATGATTACAAAAAAAAGTTAACTATATGATACACAATAATCTATCATGCTAGGTAAACTGAATATACATGTACCTTTGGAAGAGAAAGACTTACTACCAAAGATAGATGGTTTTGATAGTCATCTTAAAGCCATTTAGTGCTGAAAGCCAAAGTCAGTATACAGACTGAAATTCAGAGTTTGTATCAGACTCGTGAATGATAGTCCAGAGAATGAATGGTTTCTTAAAGTATAGACTGGTTTATTTCGTCATTGGGAATAAAAGCATCTTGGCAGCCCAAGGGCTGAATTGCACTGCTTCACGCCATGAATGAGTATGGTGTATCTTCACAAAATTGTGAAAAAGCTAGATGAGGTAGAACATGAATGATTTGACCATCACTTTTAGAAAGTTACAACTTCAATGTAGAATGGTGAATTAAAGAGACCCAAAGTAAAATGGTGAATAAAGCATGACTCCTCTTTGCTAGCTACAGCACACCAGTGTATGGACACTTGAACAATGTGTATAACTTCTGTAGAGCCATCTAACTGGCCCAAGGGTACTTGAAACGTCTGCCAAAAGTACAACTTACAAGTTACAGCAGGTGTTTCTAAGTTTGCCAACTCTCGAAACTTTCAAGTCCCGCCAAATCTCGCGAGACTAATTAGCCTCTATTAGCCTTTGAAAGCATCCAAACAGGAAGTGCTGTTTACATGCGAAATTACTACAAAGTATCTAGATTGATAAATTATGAACCAATACAATGTCAATTAAATCAATTATTCAATTCCGTAAATACGGCATACATTAGATCTATGTGGATATATGATATCGTTATTAATGGTGATCTGGATCGATTTCTTCGCGTTTTGCTGCGATCGCAATTGGCTAGCAACAGCACAACAACATGGCGGCCGAAGAACAAGTTTTCTCCAGGGACGAGAACCACCTGTAACATAGGTATGGACACTCAAAACAATCTCTAACACGCGTAGGTATGGTGGTTTGTTTGTGTGGTGGGATTATCCTGCCTTACTGCGTTTATTCTTTTTCCCTCCGACCAATACCAACAGGTGGTCGGCGGCCTACTTTCTTTCAAAATGTCGGGATTCTCATTGGCGGCAAAGTTTGTTTTTATAAAGTCGATTAAATTTTGCGTCTGTTAAGCTTTCCAATCTGGATGGAGTTTGCGTTCAGCGCTAGAGAGCCATTCTATCTTGCTAATATTCAACTTCACTTTCCACGGTATGTATCGCAACATTGCCACTGGCTGTGCGATGTAAAATGGCCCGCCCTATCCATTACCAGTTTTGCATCCTAAATTTGAAGCCAACGAAGTTATTCGACTGTTACAGGTGTCATTGATACTTTCTAAGATGCGAAAACGTTGACTAAATCCAACTTGATTAGGCTTCCACCTCAATATCTGCTGTCTATTGGGGATCATTAGGTCGAGGTGTGTTCAGTTGTGACAGTAATTTAATTTGAGGACCATAACCCTGTGAATAATGTTTACACTGTCGTAATGACACCCCCCAATGGCACTCAATGGTGAGTCTCAAGGGTTATCATCTGCTAGGCATGGCGCCTTTCCAGCTTTAACTTCCCTATATTACTTGTAACTTGCCATTTTATGCTTTATTGGTGTATTGCTGTCTGCAAATAAAAATCAGAACTTTTCATTAATTTGTGATTGTTCTATGTGAAACAGGTGCAGGTGTCAACAGAAACTATAGATAAAGAATATTCTGTCCATTTATGAACAAAGTAAGATTAAGAGATGTTAGGTTCGTTTTGCTTATCCTTATGTACTAGTATCTCTTCTGTAATGATTTTGTCACAGTGTTTGAAACTTGTCGTAAAAACATTGCTATATTGCTATAAACTTGTATACACAGACCACTTGGTGAAGACGAAATGTAAACATGGCCACTCAGGAAATGGACGAGCGCCTGCGGTGGCTGGAAACACGCATCACATCGTCATTAAGACCGAGGAATGAGGATCTTAAAAATCTCTTCACAAACGATGAAACAAGGTAGGAAAAGCCAATCACAGAGAGTCACAATTATTGCTGAGTGGAGCTGCTTTGTCCAGAAAATCTTTATCATACATACTTGCTAGAGACTTGTATCTTAACAACTTGCATATGCATTAAGACTAGTAGATTGTGTCTTGACATTTTTACTGTTTGTTTCCTTCAGGTCCGTCCTTGTTGAATATATCACCAATGAAGACTTGAGATGTCTGTACATCTATGCCAAGTCTCCCAAGAATGGGCTGCAGGCGTCCCTCAGCCCTCCAGCTCAACTGCCTGCAAAAGCTGTCTTCTTTTTGAAGACAGGCACTTCTGTCAAGCTCACCAAAGATAACATGGGTTAGTTTCAGCTCAGTACAGTCATCTTTCATTGTAAAAACTAAGGGTTTTTATCAGATATTAGAAATTACATTTAATGTTGCCCAGGTATAGGTAACCTATATCGTAATTATTATAGCTCTGTATCCAAGTCGTTGGCAGCAGCATTTGCCATTTTACTAAGATTGTGTGGTAATCATTTTCAATCGCATTTCAACTGTAGATGATAACGTTATATACATCGATGGAGCAAACATGCCCCTGGAGCACATGGACATGCTGGCCAGAGACGTGTTCCTGCCGCTGCTGTGCACAGAGACAGAGCACGCTGAGACAGTCGCTGGGCCTGACAAACTCATGGACGTTCTACACAGACTGATGAGCAATGTGGAGGTGACACATGGGCACCAACAGGTCTGTAATTATGTAGGCATGGCACATATAATCAGTACATAATACATGCCATGATTGATTAAAGGATCTAGGAAGGCAGAGAATTTCTGAATATGCTCTGTGGAATATGCCGTAATGAGTGGCTTGACCCAAATGACTTTTGCTCATCAAACAAATATGATTTTATGGTGGATTTCTTTTCTCTAATCAAGTTTTAACTACATGTATTAGCAACTTCACACCACCTTATATTGCTTCACAGGTGGTTATTTATGTGCATGCAAGCATGCTAGGAACTAAAGAAATAATTGAACTAGTTTGTATTAAAGCGGCGGCAAAGTCGTTAATTATGATATGAGAATACATAATGCATTCATCAGGTGTGTTGTGTTTTGTTGCAGGGTTCCATCGTCCTTCCCCTACCATCCATCGAGGTCCTGGCAGAGGCTGCAGCAGCAACCAATCGGAGAGCAGCTGTCATCCACGTGCTGGAGTCCACTGTCATCGGCTGGATCAAGCAGATCAGAGTAGGTCTTACTGAAATGTCGCAAATACCAGTTGTTAGATATGATAAGATAATACCAGGTATTCCTACATAATGCATCAATGGTCATGTCAATAAATTTACTTTCATTGATTATTTCACTCAATGGACAGACAGTGCTACTAAAATACAAAGACCGTTTTTCTGTTGTAGGGCACTTTAAGAAATCCGGGATCAAAGGCCTATCATGGGTCCAATGTTTTGTGTTTTTTGATTCCTGTTGCTTTATGTTAAAGGATTGATGAAATTTCCATTCACTACACCAGTGTCACAACCCTTTCCTTGTCTGTCCCCAGGGTGTGCTAAAGCATGACCCCGTTGCTGAGCTGAGTCGCCTCAGCTCCAAGCCCCGCCCCCAGGATGAGGTCCAGGTGTGGTCTAATCACCTGTCCCGCCTCCACTCCATCAACTCCCAGCTGGACGCTCCCATCGCCTGCGACATCCTCCTCAACCTGGAGGAGGCAGACAGCTCCTACTCACACAGCTTCCAGAACGTCCGCAGGGAGATCGCAAAGGTATTCAAATTTAAGAAAAAAAAATCTGTATACTGATAGATTATACTGTATTAGGGAATAACCTCTATTAACATTTATCCAATGGGTTACATGTTTCCACCACTTTGAAAAACAGTCTGAGAGTTCTCTAGTGCATCACCCCAGGTATGCACAGTTCTGATATATACTTACTTACTAACTTACTTGTCCTCTTGCACTAGAGCCGACTACTTTTGATACATAGAAGGGGACATTGCATTGGAGATCTCTTCAATCTCAGTTGTTTTTTCAAGGTGTAGGATATATGTGACCTGTCAGTTGTAAGCCTGAACATCTTTATTAATTTACTAATAAGTGAATATCTTAGATTGATACAAATAGTGTCAGCTTACGCAAGTAAAAGGGGTTTATATCAACAGCTAAATAATGTGAAAATTGTTCTGCTCCAGGCTGTCCATGACACAAATGAGCACCTGCTGTACCTGAACACCATGAGGTCCTGGCTGGACCGGCTGCAGCTGGGGCGCTCGCCGAAGGAAATCCAGCAGATTTTTGCCCCCCTGGTACACACCCTGTACCTGGTCTGGATGCACTCCAAGTATTACCATGAGAAGAGACAGTTCCAGACACTGCTGAGAGTCGTTTCTAATGAGATTGTTGCCAAGTAAGTTGACTGTTTACTTACTTATTTTAATTATTCCATATCTACAGTGTACATGACATCCTATTAGTCACTGCAGTTATGATATTGCCTCAAGACTTTCATAATCATATGGTTTCTTGACATTGAAATGACTGCCTGGCTGATTTTACTGTGTAAGTATCAAGTTTATGTTTTATGTCAATCAAGGTCCTTTGAAATACATGTAGAATCATTCAGTAGTATTTAGTTTGTGTCCAACTTTTGCCCAAATAATGTTAGCATCTGGCAACTGCACATTCGGCAGGTCTGGAGAAAGATAACCGATTAGCTTTTAATTGAAGGAGCTATATACACATGTATATGAGCTATATGTATCCTGCAATAACCTATCAGGTCACAAAGCATGGTGGGAGATGACCTTCTGCACGACACTGTCCAGTCCTACTCCCGGCTGAAGGATGCCCTGCGAGTGTGTGCTGCGTACAGGGGAACCTACCTGGACTGGCGGGAGAAGGCCAACGCAATGAACAAGGAGAAAGTGGAGGAGAGTGCCACTTCATTGTAAGTGGTTTTGTGACATTTACTGATTAAATGTTTTGGTTAAAGTTGAGGACCTTTATGCCTCATGGAAGCACAAGTACGTGATTGTACCTGAGTGTATGGTTCATCCTCAAAGTAATAGGATGTAAAGAATCGGGCTTTAAAAAACTGCCAGGAAATGTAAAAACTATTAGACATGGAGTGAAATACACAGTTTTATAACCAATAGTCAGTGACTAGATCTGAAATTTTATGAAGGGAAACCCCTACTACCACCCAGTGTACAGTTACATGTATGATATGCATGAATGATATTGCCTATTAACTATGGTCACACTCGACCGAACATTGATTATCATCAAAGTATTTGCTACCTTCCAGGATCCACAGGCCCCAGGGCCAGCTGTGGGCCACCAAGCTGTACGGTACACATGCCTACGACCCGCGGAGGCCTGCCCAGAAGAACGAGAGCACCACCAGTCTGGGGGTGGAGGAGGAGTGGAAGGACTCCCCCTGGCCACCCCGCAACGCTCGCTGCTTCGACCTGATGAACAGGTTCATGGAAAGGTGCGTCCAGAATCTGGCCTGGTGGTGAAGATCAATGGGAAGGTTCAAAGAACAGGAATGTAGAAGAATACACACTGTCAGGTTCCAGTTGGCTTACAGCCAAGAGCAATACAGACAACTCAACACTAACAAACTATGTTACTCTGATTTATTGGGATCATCCCAAGATATTGGTAACCAGTGTGCTGCTAGTGTGTGTGTTACTGGTATTTTACCTTTTGTGAGATATAAGAAAGTTTGGCAAAGGAGCATTTTGGTAACCAGGGCTACTTACACGTATGTATAGGACAGTATCTACCCAATTATATCGATGACCATTATGGTCATCAAAGTTTTAAGTATGGAGCTGCCACATTCATACAATTATTGAATTCTACAGGTGTAACGATGTACTGGAGCTTGTGGAGACCACCCGACACTTCCGTCTGCTGGAGTCTGCAGCAGAGATCGGTGGTGCAGGGGGGAGGAGCCTGGACGCACTGGTGCAGGAAATACACCAGAACTTTGCCAAAGCCATGGACGACTTCATCACCTCAGCAGGAAACATCTTAGATGTGGACGACTCCCATAACTTCAACAAGAGCTTCTTTAAGTTCAGATCTGTGGTTAAGGTTAGTACTTGTCGTTTTTAAAGTGCATTGTATGGAGGTTTGTCTGCATGGATTTTTTATCATTTACACTTGAAGATCTGATAAAATATCGGAAACATTGCCCTATTGAGAAGGCATATGTGGGCGATGCCTTTTGCAGTTTGCAAGGTTGTTGTTTGTGCACTGGTTCTGTCAGTTGTGCAGTACTGCGCACCAGTCTTAGCCAACATGTCAGACTCCAACATGCGCAAACTGCAAGTAGTGCAGAATAGGGCATGTAGACTGTTACTGAAATGTACTCCTGATACTCCTACCAGGCAGATGCATCTAGATCTTGGTTGGCCGACTGTGAGAGAGAGATTCTTGATAAGCACTTTGGTCATTCTCTTTAAGATCCTCACGAGTCACGAACCACAAAATATTTATAACTCCCTTTTGCCTGTTCATGCATCTCACAGTCATAATACCAGATCTTCCGCACATAACTTTAGATTACCAATACCTAAGTCCAATAGCAGAAAACGCTTATTCCTGTATCGTGCAGTCGTGCTCTGGAACGATCTACCATCTGACGTTAAGACACTGTGCGATGTTATCAGTTTTAAGAAAGCCGTTTCAAACAGTAGTAGTGTCACCTGATCCTTGACCCTTGCTCGCTACTTTTAAATTGCTAATATCTATGTGTATTTATTGTTGATGTGGTGCACAGTGTACATGTATGTATGTATGTATTTTTAAATGTTTCTACTATGTTGTAATTATGTAATTATGTAATTGTTTGAGCCTTGGAAGATTAGCTCTTTGGGGCTAAAAGGTTTCGAAATAAATGAAATGAAATGAAATCAACTTTGTGTCTCTGTTATTAGGATCTGGAAGCCCAGCTGGCCTCTGTCCTAAACCTGAGCTTCCTGCAGTGTCCTACTGTGGCCTCCCAGCTCAGACTATTGGAGGTGTTTGAAGGAGTCAGCAGTAGAGAACTGGTGCAGGTTAGTATCATCTGCCTCTCTGCATCATTCTTTCATGTTTGACAGATGTACCTTACTGAATGACCAAAATGACTGGTCTATGCCACGAGTGAAGAAACTGCTTTAACATATACAACGTGTATGACATCACCTACTATATCTCCGAGATGAATCATATTTTTTGCACCCACACAGAAACATCTGAAGGACAAGGACCGGGCACTGGTGTCTTCCTTCACTCAGGAGTTACTGGAGGTCAAAACCATCTTCAACAGCAAGGTGCGTGCCCCGCCCATGCACACCAACCTACCCAGGACTGTCTCCAAGCTGCTCTGGATCAAAGGGCTGCAGGCCAGGATAACTGTAAGTCCACTCAGTATCTCCCTTTGTGTTTTCAATGAGTTGCAAAGCAGAGATTACAAAACACAGCCAACAGTGTATCTAATCTAAACACCTAGTTTGAATGCCCACAGGTAGTTTATTATATTGTAAGTTATTCTTTCCTGTACTGGTTAGTGTAATAGTCACACCGAAAACTACAAAAAGAAACGTACAATGGCTTATGGGACTATCACCAAAGCTCACAGGAGGTACAATTTGGTATAAATAAATGATGAGTTTTTAGACTTGTGAAGGGAATTAATACCTCAGGATAGGATCTGTAACTGGACCTGAAAGTGTCTGTAACTGTCCAGTATCACATCCACATGTACAGCCTTGGGACATTGGCCAGTAAATAACTTTAAAACGTTGTATTTCAGGAGCCCATGGAGAAGTTCCGCAGGGTCAGCCCCCACTCACTGGAGGGAGACGCAGGCTGGCAGATGAGAGATGCTTACAAAGATGCCATGAAGGAGTTTCAGAGGTTTTGCTCATTGACAACAATTTTCTTTAAACTCTTCATCAAATAAGTTTTACCTGCAGAACATACTAATGTTCTCTTAGATATGGAGCTTAGCTCAAGAGCTAGATACCCTTGGGATTATGGTATAATGGCAAAGGAATATGTTGTAATTTTAAACTTTAAAATTTCTTCCATTGACCATTGCAGATGTGAGAAGCAGATAGTGGAACATTGGCAGAAGAGTGTGCAGTCTGAGCTGAGGGACAGACTCAAGCAGCCTCTACTGGTGAGCAGGTCTTCATTGTTACAGCAGACCACAGTGTTTTACCATGACTGATTCTGTAAAAGGCTTTTTTTTAATTACTGTCTGGTTCATTGGTCTTACATTCTAACTTGCAGACTAGTTCTGAAGACATTTAAGTAGAATACTAATAGCAACGGTTTGTTGTATCACTGTTTATTTTTTCTCTCATATTGCCAACAAGGAGTTGCCCATCATAAACAGTACAGGTATAACTAGTAAGGAGTGAGAAAAATACATAGTTACATGAATGAAGTCAATATTTTCACGGGGTTAGATTTTTGCTACTGATTACAAATTCAAAATTTTTATGGTGCAATATTCATGTAAACCAGAATTTGGCAGATGTCAACTATAATTCGCATATTGGATCAGAAATAAAAAGCTGTACTGTTTCCTCACATACACATCATACAGGTTGCAGAAAACTATGACGAGGATGAGGATGTGAGACCACAGATTGTCCATGTGAACCTTGACCCTGAGCTGATCCTCCTGTTGAGGGAGATCCACTACTTCTCCCAGGCTCCCTACAACATCAAATTGCCTCAGCCTGCCAGGGCTCTCATCAGGTCAGCAGTGTGGTTAGTTCTTATAGTGGGAGAGAGTCATTGAATCAGTTAGCATTCAACTCAAGACATTCTAACACTTGTGCTTTGAATGTCAAGTGGCTGAGTCAGCAAATGGCAGTACTTCCGTACCCTGATCACAATAGCCTCTACTGTAGACATTGTAGTTAGTGAAATCTGTAATATGTAATCTTCTTCTAATTGCTAAGCCATGCGGTATACAGAAAATGTTTGATAAATAAATACCCTACAGCAGGGACAATCTAGCCAATGTTGACAAATTTCTTTGTGATGTATCAAAACCTTCCATCCAGGTACCCTGTAAGCATTTTCTCAATTGAATACAGCATTTTAAATAGATTTTGTTCCATTGTGTATCCTAGGAACACAGATGCAGCTACCCTGCGTGTGACAGCCGCCCGTCTGGAGACCATTGTCTCCAAGTACAACGAGGTGATGAGAAGCATCAGTGAGGTGGAGAGGCCTCTGTTTGAGAGGAAGCTGGCCAAGATTGATGTGGTTTGTAGACATCATTCTTAGATCTGAAGTGGTTGCCTTTCTGCAAAAGAAATCTGATGGCTATTAGATTAACTTGATTTTCCTTCAAAAATGATGCACCAGATCAATGGTTTTGCTTGTCTGTAAATTAATGATTTAGAGTCAAAAAGAAAATATCTATCGGCAACTAGAATAATTGTAGTCAATTTTCAGGTGAAATGTCTCTTTCTCCTAGTTTTCGACATCATTTCATCTTATAATGATTGTTATTTTCCTTTCTTGATCCAATCCTTAGGTTTTTGATGAGGGCCTACACAACTTTACCTGGAAGACCACAGAGAGCGCCGACTTTATTGAGATCGCTTCCTCCCTGGTGTGTAACGATCTCCATGGAAACCTGACCGTCGTGCAGACCAACTGTGATGACATCACCCTGCTGGCCGGCAGCTGGTCCCAGGGACAGCTGGACGTGTTTGCCGCTCGAGACGAGGAGAACAGCTACACTATGGACGAGCTGGTGGACATGCAGAAGTGGGTAGAGATACAAGCAGAGTCTACAGTAATAAAGATATTATTAAGATTTCTTGTTGTGGTATTTGGTACATTCTGAGTGTCACTTCAACTGAAACATGCTGTAGTGCTAGACAGTAAATGACAAGGTGCTAAGAAGTGGTTATTTTCTGACTACAGGAAGCTTGATGAGGACCTGACCTCCATCATCGTGCCCTCTGGACACAGGATCCACACCCTGCTGCAGGAGTCTTTTGAGGTCAGGAGCTTGTTTACTTTGCATGCCCTTCAAAACACAAAACTGTCATGATCTTCTCAAGCCATTATACCAAACGGTTACAGTAGCATCGCTTGAATTAAAACTGTTTACAATGAAGCAAAAGGACCATTGCTATGCTGATAGGAAAAAAACACAACTCAAACATTTCTTTTTCTTTCGAGATCTATGAAAAAATCAACTCTCTCTGGTTGTCAGCTGATGGTTATTTTTGTTGGAACATGTAAGCTTTCCTATGATAATCATTGCACATATAATATACATACATGTACCAATTTTCCCTCTCCAGGCAGTACAGATCAGCAGGGCGTCCCCTGCGTGGGAGGCGTATGTAGAGTTTGTGGACTCCATCGTTCTGGATGGACTGAAGAGATCCACTGTCACCAGTCTGGAGACCATGCACAACCAGCTGGTCATGGCTAACATCTCCCAGGTCAGTGGGAAGTGCAGATTTTCAAAGAACTGGATGTTGTTTAGTATAAAGATTGCCTGTAGGAGGTTGTAACATTGATATACTAACATAGGATAAAGGTCTAAAAGAAATGCCCTAGAGTCAACATTTTCCATCAACAACCCTGGTAGTTTCTGATGGTACAGCATGAAAAAAGAGGTGAGGTAAACAAACGACAAAGATAGGTGAGATCTGTTTTATCAAACTTGAAGGAGACTTTATTACATGTAGTATGTAATGATACACAATCATGATCACCTATTGAAACAAAAGTTGCCTCCTGATGTTCCAGGATCCGTACGTGCCGATACTGACCATTCGGCTGGAGCTGATTGAGAATGTGGTGTCGTTCAACCCCCCGCTGGACCAGAACTCGGCCATGCTGAGTGTCCAGGAGCTGGTCACCAAGTGGCTGGAGTCTTTCCTGTCCAGGGGTGCTCTGGTGCAGATGCTGGGCAGGGACTCAAGTGTATGTAGCTGCATCACTACATACAATCATTTCAGTTATTTTATTTTATCAGGAAGTACACTCATGTCATTCAAACTGTTTTACAAATAACGAAATTTTAAACAGAATCTTAAGGTTAAATCCTGCTAAAGTACTAAAAGTATACGACTCAATGACTCAAGTTTGACTCAATTTTTCAGAACGGGTATGAGGACTACATAGCTGTGGATGATGATGTGAAGCAGCTGGTGCAACAGATCCTACAGCTGGTGAGGGACAATGCTGAGGAGTGCAAGGTACCTGAGTCTATTTCTTCATATCCATAATGCTTTCACTGTTGCACTATTCAAAGTCAGCCAGAAGAAATAAATTTAACAGCAGTGGAAGTAAACAGCTAATCTCTGATGTATGCCTGTCCTTGGTGCTGAAGTTGACAGTGTTGTTCTAAGAAAAAATAGATTTAACAGTGATGGAAATTAACAGTGGAATCTCTGCCTGTCCTTGGTGCTGATTCCCATGTTGTTGGTCTGCTCCCCAGAAACTGCTGGACCTATTTAAGGACTACCACTTCCTGTGGATGCAGCACGTCCAGCAGACCTTTGATGACTTCCTGCACGGTAAACTCAGCCCCAACCCCCTCAGGTCCGCAGCCAGCTCACCCCAGGGGCTCCTCAGGCAGATCGCTTCAGCCAAGTCCGATGCAAGGTCTTCAGCTAGTGGAAGGTATGGTGCCTTTTAAGTATAGGATATCCTACATGCTTTGTGGATGTATTCATCCAGTGCCTATTCATCCAGAAATACAACCCACTATGTTTTGAAAGTGGTACTGTAACAATAGTTATAGGGATTCTTCTGAATGCTGAATAAAGGAATAATAGACAAGTAGTTGACTATACATTTGAGCTTTTGAACCTTTCTCTGTGCTGTTTAACTTTTCTGTCAAACACAAGGGATGAAATGTTTTCATGATTGCTTGACTACATGTATCTAAATGTTGTTTGGTAAATTCTAGGTCTCGTGCAGACTCCATTGGCAGCATGCAGTCAGCAGGGGTCCTGGGAACGGCTGAACGTTCCTTCCTCACACCAAAGCATGCCACAAGCAACATGAACGTACCCTCTCTGGATGACTTTGATAATGAAATTGACATCTACAGGGTGAGTTAGTGAGAGAGATCCTTTGAACAGCAACTTTGGTTTGATTTCTGTTATGACGTCTAATGGTATGCCAGCATCTGAAGATATACCTGAAGGACTAATGGGTGTAAGTTGTAACTCAATGGAAGTGAAACATTACCCAGTAAATGTATAAGGTTGACTTCACAAACCTAGAACATTTCTACTGTGGCTGGGACTGTCATGGTAGGATAGGGTTGACAAGCCACGGCCATCACACCACATCATCTCTACTGATGGAAGGATGCCTACTATACTGTTGAGATTGTAGATCAAAAGACCACTTTTTCTGTGTTGTGCAGGTTGCCAGGGACAACATCCACACCCTGCAGGACCACCAGGATGTGGGGTGGCTCCGGGTGGACATCAAACCCATCAAACAGGTGCTCATCACACATGCCAGCCGCTGGATGTGGACCTTCACCAAGTACCTGACAGACCAGGTCAGAGTTATATAGCAAAGCTTTGTTTTATGTACACTTTGATCCTGTACTGACTGAAACATTGCTGATTCAATTTAATTTTAAGATGCTCTCAGATATGGAGTCTGAATGGAATCACTTTGTTAATGTGTGAAAGCAGGACAATCAATTTTCCAACTTCTAAGACCATGAGAGAAGATGAATTTTGATTGTCATCTTTGCTTTTGTACCTGTTGGGTTCTTGTGCAATGCATTTGATCATATTCTCCCTTTTTGAGTGCTTCTGGCTGTTACAAATTATCAGAAGTGCTAGCCATAAGATTATTTAAATTCTGTAGTTCTGGTACATTTATGGCTATACCCACAATTGCATATTTGATTTGGCACCAGGTTACAGAGATGCTGACAACTCTGGATAAGTTCTTGAAGAGGATTGAGCCAGACATTGAGGGCATCACAGGAGAGGAGAGGGACACTGCCTCCTTCATGAGGATGATGAGACTCTTTAATGAGGTAAAAATTATACTGTTTTTGTTTATTTGTGATGGACAGGTTGTATATATACATCTGAACTAACTGTGTGTAGGTATTGGTCTATGTTCATATCCATTTGTTGAGAATGATAGTAAATACACTTTATTGTACAACAATTGTTCAAGGTGCAAAGTATGGCAACTACTGTTACATAGCAGATACAAGAGCAAGCAGTATAAGATGAAAATTAGCTTTTACAATCATTGGAGGAATTTCTAAGATCTAGACATAATATATCACTACATCATCAGAGCCTGTGAGCCTCCCAGCTGTTGAAACTTGGTAAAATTTTTTAAGTATCTACCTAAGCGTCCCTCCTGCTGCCATGTTTACCCCGCAGGTGTCTGCCCAGCAGCAGGAGATGGACGGGAAGTTCCAGGCCATGCACCGCACGGTGCTGCTGCTAGAGAAGTACCAGATGCAGCTGCCCGCAGCTACGGAGCGGCTGTTCAAGGCTGCACCTGGCAGGTGGAACAACCTGAAGACCAAGGTGTCCCTGGCCAAGCAGAGGCTGGGCCCCAGGATACAGGAGGAGTCCAGGAGGATCACTAAGGTCAGGCCCAGCTGGCAGAATTATGTCTTGCATTGAGCTTTTTAAAACACTTATTATAGTGTCAATAACAATAATGGTTGAAATCTAACATTCTGTAAATGAAGAGGACTTAATTTTACTGTAGGAGAGGGAAAGATGTTCACTATGTTGTAAGTTTGCAGTTCAAAGACAGGGCACATGTTCATGGTGTGATGAGTTTGCAGTCAGAGTTCATGGCATAAACCATATGAACATAAAACCACAGTGCAATTTTGCATGCATAATGCAGTGTTAAATATTCTGATATTGTTAGATAAGATTTTTCAGTTGCCTTTCAGTTCCTTCTACACTTGTTGAATATCTACAGACAGTCCTCCTAACTAATAGTTGAACTCCATGAAAAGTGGCTTTAATGGCCGAATAGAACAATACTCGACAAGTTCAAATAAAGGCACAAACAAACAAACTGACACTGCTAGCTGTGCCCTTCCTGTACAGGACCTGGCCAGGTTTGGTATGCGGGTGGATGAGCTGGTATCTGACATCTCCCAGTCGGAGGTCTACATGCGGGAGTGTACGTTTGAGAACGCCTGGGAGATCCTGGGGGACTTCAGACGCAGACTCGACCACCTGGAGAATGAAGCACAGGTAAGTCATAACCCAGGATATCAGGGTCATTACTCAAGTGTTACATGGCAGGAAATGCTTTTTGTAAGATATTTCAATCAATTAGTGTGTAATGTAATGTTACGTTATGGTCAAAATGTTATTGATGCACTGATTTGAAGGTATATTTTTTATTCCTTTAGGACCTTATTGAGCTGCAGGAGCTTCTGGAGACAGCAGTGGTTAATTTCTCCCTCCTGCCACAGTAAGTCTGTTTGTATTTAATCCGAATCTTGAAAAACATAGTTACTGTGAGTGTACCATTATTATGGGGTCTGTGTTAGTGTTGTGTGGATATTGTATGCTCAAAATTGGCAATGATATCTTTGTTTTATGTGCTTTTAATATGGACAAATTGTGGAAATGATCATAAGAAGGAAGAATGTCAAGTATCTAGTTACCATAATCATTGTTAGCACATTTTCTCCTATTACATAGTGTGTATGATGCATTTGACGGTAATTTTGTCTCCTTTGTTGTTGCCAGATGCCGTCAGGACCTGCGTAACCTGAAGCTGGTGTGGGAGACGTGGCGCGTGGTGTCGGAACAGCAGAACGACTGGCGGCTGCACCGCTGGCAGAAGATTGACACCAAGTTCCTCCGCACGGCCACACAGGAGCAGCTGGCCCGCGTCAAGGGTCTGCCTGAGGACACGTTTGTGTGGGATGTGTACATGGGCATGCAGGAGTCCATAGTCATCATACAGGTCAGTAGAACATGTGTATAGACTCATGCATTTTCAAGCTTGATCAGTAGTAGTAGATTAGTATGTTTTTATCTTACAAGCTTTTGGTTCCATTTGTGTGCTTGACATATATCTTGTACCCAAGATTCATGACTGTAAAATGACATTAAACTGCATTGCATCATTCCTAAGTATGGAATAGTATACTGCAGCTAATTTTTGCATTGTTTTGTGATTTGCATTGTTTATTTGAGCAAAGTTGAGCTTGATCATTCGTGGTAGTTCTGATACATTCGCTAATTAATATCAATCAGGAAAATACATAGGGTGTAGCCATGCAGTTTTTTTGCCTGCTCAAGAGTCTTGCTTCCTCTCCGCAGGCCTGTCTGCCGCTGATCGATGACCTGCGTAACCCCGCCATGCGGACCCGGCACTGGAAACAGCTGGTGAGGATAACAGGAGGGGTTCTGCAGATCGACAACGACAGTCTGAAGAAGATGACTCTGGGCCAGCTGCTGGAGCTGGGGCTGCAGAGTAAGGGTCTCAGAAACTGCTGCTTCTGGAAATTTCATGCCAAAATGTTTTTAATACTGAAGACTTAGAGAATGACAGTGTCACATACCGGTACTATCTTACCAGCTAGACCAGTGCTGAACTTGAACATGAATGTGAATGATATGAGCAAAGTCAAAGTAGCAATTCACCATGTTTTGGTACTGTTCCCTTGCACATAATACTTTGCTCCCTTGTACAGATACCCCTATGCAGTTTTTCTGTCTTAGTATTACCTATTTCTTTACCCCAGGGCATGTAGATGATGTACGTAACATTGTCCAGCGGGCAGTGAAGGAAGTGACTATTGAGAGCTCGCTGAAGACGTATGAGGAGATCTGGCTGAGTAAACTGTTTGAGCTGCTGCAGCACATCAAGAGTAAGCCTACAACAACAGGACCAGCTCTCCTGGATGTGAGTAGAATTGTCCACCTTTACTGCATTTGTCATTGTGTCAAAACCTTCTGGCCAGGAATACAGTTGATATGTAGCCTCTTTCAATAGCGTGTATCACATGAAGGGTACTAAAATTTTAAAATCGAATACAGATGCCCCTTTGATTTTCTTGTTGTATGAGGATATAATGTACAGCATGTGTAAAAGGACAACAGTCTAGCATGCTTTAAAGGTTCCAACACAGCTCATATGTATAGCTATAAGTATTGACAGCATCATCCTTGATCTCCAGGAGGGAGCGAGTCAGTACTCGGGAAGCGAGGCCACGCACACGATGACAGGAGATGATGCCACCAGGCCGTCCCGTCGGGCTCGTGCCACCAGCCGAACCTCCAACAACACGTCCATCAGCCGCACGCGCAGGGGCAGCACCGCATCGCTGCCCGCCAGCCTGGCTAACCTGGGAGAGGTGGGTGTTAATGGTCTTAAGGGGACCTAGTTAACAATTGCTGCTGTCTCAAATGGTCTAGTGTTGAAGGGACCTGCACTACTTTAGAGATGATCTTGGCAACTTGGCAGCTTTGTTTCCCTACGTTTTACTTTTTGTTCATAGCATTGTGACAACCCTATTTAGCCACTCAACACAGTAACACCCAACAAAGTTTGCATCAGTGATGATACACAAATATGTCTCCGTTACCTTGATAGTATAGTGTAGCATGTATAGTCCAGAGCATTTGTTTTCATCTGTCATGACCAGTGAAAGATTAGTTCTTCAGTGATCAAGATCACTTTAAAGTTCCTTTTTTCATCACCATGGAATTGTACCTCTGTCTGCCAGGACTCTGGGCAGTTGTTTCTGCTGACCAATACCGAGGCCATCTTCGAGGAGCTTGAGTCTCACCAGGTGTCCCTGCAGAGCATGGGAGCCTCCAGCGCAGCCGGCTCCTTCTCAGACGAGGTGCTGAAGTGGCAGAAGAGGCTGCAGACCATCGAGGCAGTGATGACCGTCTGGCTGGAGGTGCAGGAGAAGTGGGTGGAGCTGGAGGAGGTGAGTGAGGCCCTATGATTGAATATTCACTGCAAACTTGCATCTTTTGTGTTGCTTGTGTCATATAATGTTACAGTAGTGTATTTGGTTACATGTAGCTATGATGGCAGTAATTTCTTTCACTGATAGTATTCTTTTGTCTTCATAGGGAAAGATTAAGCACTATTAGGCAAAGTATGCAAGGGATACATATTGTAGCACCGTAAGATTTCTGCTACTTTCCTATTAGTATTATCAACGACCAATAGACTTTTACCACTAAGCAAAGATCAAGTCTTTTACCAGGTGACAGATGAATACTTGCTGCTTCCAAGTTTGGATATCAACAAGATTATACCCCCAATAACGTATAAAGAAGGATGTTTTGGTTGATTTTATGTTTAACTTATTTCTTATGTGTACAGGTGTTCTCTGGAGCTGATGTCAGAACCACCCTGTCCCATGATGCCAACATGTTTGCTGCAGCCAACAGGGACTTCAGAAGGCTGATGAGGGCCACAGAGAAGAACCCTAATGTGCTGCAGTGTTGCTCCAGGAAAGGTATGTTGTCTTTACGCTTTTCACCCCAAGCAGTCATTAAAGTTGGGCTTGTTTAAATGTTGTTCCAACAGTGATTCAAGACCTGCAAGTTTGTGAGCATTACCAGTCCTGAATAGTTTTCATTGGGTTTAAGTATCTTTAGGTCTTGAACCTAGATAAAATTGACCCACAGGACAGAGACAAGTGGCGTGCAGCCATCAAGCCCCAGATGTATTGTGCAAGCACGTCTAACCCTCGGAAGACGGGGAACAACAGACGATAAACCGAACAGTGAGTGTGAGTGTGTGGTGATAGGCAGCATTGCTCCATTTAAAGGCCTTAATTGTTGCATACTTCTTTGTTGCAGGCATTTTAAACTTCCTTGAGAAGATGAACGGTACACTGGAGCACCGGGCTTGCCTATATGTGGTTTATATAGTGTTTGATGGACATCAAGACACGAGGTGTTTTCATGTAACCTGTAAAAGGCCTTAATTGTTGCATACTTCCTTGTTGCAGGAATCTTGAACTTCCTAGAGAAGATGAACGGTACTCTGGAGCACTGCCGGAAGTCTCTGTTGCACCACCTGGAGAGGAAGAGACAGAAGTTCCCCAGGTTCTACTTCCTGTCAATGGAGGACGTCCTGCATGTCGTCTGTAATGGTAGGCAGAGTTCTTACCTAACAACCTGGGTCCTAATGGCATCCATTAATTACCAGAAGAAGAAATGTTTGCTCAATGTACAGATACTATTAGGTTACCAATGTAATGGTTTACTGACTTAGGTACTAAATGCATTTAATATGCTAGAAATGTTTTTTACAATTTCTGCACAATCTTTGTAGATTTTGTCTGTTGAAGAATGTGTGTTGCTTTCTTGTACATTTGACAATTTTTGTCACTATTAGAGATTAATACAGAAGTGCATATGAAAGTGACCATACTTTGCAAGCTACCTGTCATTCAGTTCTTACAGAAAGTGCACAACATGTCTGTCTCAACATCCTTCAGTCCTGTCAGACAGGCCATGGAGCTGTACCTAGGATTTCAGTTCCTTTATGATAAGTTGTTCAGATTTGAGGCATAAAGTGTTCATTCCTGTGTTCTGCAGGTCATAACCTGAAGGCAGTCAGCCCGTACCTGTGTAAGCTGTTCCCTGACATGGGCAGTGTGAAGCACGAGGAGTGTGAGCCACTGTCCAACAACACCTTCCAGATCACTGCTGTCCTCAGCACTGTGGGCGAGAAACTTCCTCTGCAACAGGTATGTCCTCCTAACCTTTGTCGTGTGGTTGAGTGTATGGTCAAGCTTGCAATTTGATTGTTTATGATTAACACAAAATGTCTTGTAGTTGGAATATTGATGACATCAAAAGATATCTTTTTCCATTGAAAGGTATCATTTTTGTGTATGCCATTTGTGTACAGATTTTTCAGTAATGTTGTGTGTCCTGATCCTGTATAGCCCATGGAGTGTGAGGGTCCCATCGAGAACTGGCTGCCCACCTTCCTTGCTGCCATTAAGACAGCCCTGCAGGGCCAGCTGCACACGGCTCTGGGACACGAGCGGCCCCAGACCTCGGCACACAGGGAGATCCACAGTGCCGGGGCCAGGAGGGTGCCTGTTCCTGACAAGAAAGAGGGCAGGAGAAGTAAGCAACAGAATGAGCCATACCATAATGTGAAGATGACTAGCATTCAGTGATGATTTCTCTTGGACAATCATGTACCTTAGAGATATAGATATAGATTTCATATACAGTAACAGTAAATCCATGTCATTTTGCATTAGAGACATACCACCAGTTTATACTGTTCTGTGCTGGTTATAAAGTGTTTGATTCTCTAGCACCACTGCCATACAGTTAGAATTTACATGTCAGTCATTGCCAAAGAGCCGGCAATTGGACATTATGGGAACAAGAAGAATTCTATTTAAAGGATTGATTTTGATTGTCATTAGGTTTTTATCCTGTGTGATTCATTGTCATAGTGACATTTGTTCCATATTTGACACTCACTTGATACTATTGTTGTCCTGTTGAAAAAAGGTAAGGCACGGAGCCGCACAAGCAGTCGAGCAGGCAGCCAGATGAGCGTTGCAAAAGACGCCCATGAAGAGGCAGAGAAGGCCCCCTCCTGGACCCTGGATCACGTGACTGAGATTGTCCAGCTGGCCACACACATCCAGATGACCGCACAAGTGGAAGGGTGTCTCAAGGCCGCGGAAGGGGGAGACAAGAATGCAATACAAGTTAGTGTGACTTACCACCTGTTTTCTTATGCAGAAACAACAATGCCAAACTAGTGAAAAACAAACTTTCAGAAACTTGGTGTGCTCTCTCCACATTGTTCTCAAGTTATGTCATTATGAAGAATTTTGAGAGGACTTACTTGGTCAAAAGTAGAATGTTTCGATGTTACAGTTATTAAATTAAATGTTCCAGTAATCAAGTAAGTAAAGTGATGCATGTAAGTCACAAAGACACTCTCTGACTTTAAGATTATGTTCTTTCATGACTATGGCTGTTTCTTCTCCGTAGGAACACCTGTCAAAGCTGTCCAACATGCTGCAGGCCACGGCTGTGATGCTGAAGGGGATAGATGATGAGAAGGACATGGGGTCCAAGAGGAGCAAGGTCCGCAAAACAGACAGCCAAGGTGAGTAACTTCACCCATTTGGTTTAAAATGTGTCCTGTTGCTGCCCAAAAGAACAGCTCATTTTACATTAATTTGAATGCTCTGGATAACCCTTTAGAAAAAACAGTGCCTGGCATATTTTACCCCCAAATATCTGGTTGCACTGAAAAAAAATCTGAAGACCAAAACTCGAAGGCAGGACTCTTAATGCTTGTGTCAATGGGAAGAACCACCAAAAAGTCATCATATTGCCTAGTATGTGGTCCTTATGTAGAGGCAGTGAAGGTTTGACTGCATGTCTTGTTTGTGAACCACAGCCTCCCTACCCAGAGACAAGGAGCAGATGGACATGTACTCGCAGGGTTACTCCCTGTCCCACCGTGGCCGCAGCATGCTGGGCTCCCTGGCCGGCTCCATGTACCAGATGGACAAGCTGGAGCAGGGCACCATCGGTACCATCGAGGAGAGGAACTCTATAGGGGATCCCGACATGGAGCAGAGGGACACTGATGGTCAGTTTAATCTCATTGCAATGTTTATGCCAGTTTGTCTTATCATATTTCATTGACATGGTTACAATGAGATGGCAACTACAGCAGCAAGGATGATTATTGGGTGCTTCTAGTAAGCAAACTGAAAATTTGTAGAAAATACAATATTTAAAAGTCAACATACTTTTGATGAACTTCCGTTAATTAATGGCTTTATTACTAACAACAAGGCCAGTGAATCAGCTAATAGTCTAAAATGTAACTGTACTAAGTGATGATTAGTAATGATGATAATGAACTTTTAGTTCTTTGCTGCTTGCTTAAGAGATTTGTTATCGTTTATTGTTATCATTTATCCTCTGACATTCCTCATTAGCATTGACAGAACCCATGGAACCTCCCATTGACACCATGAAGACACTGGCCCCGCCCGTCAGCAAGCTGTCCAAGGGGTCCAGGAAGGATGAGGAGGAGGAGGAGAAGCAGACAGAACCCTCGGAGATGAAGCTGATGCTCTTCCCAGCACAGATTCAGAAGATCAGCAACATCATTGCTTTACTGGCACATTACAAGTTAGTGACTCTCTTAAGTTTGTTGCCTTTGAGCAATCACAGTTGCTCCCTCCCTCCCATACCCTACCAACTGCCGTATCTTTGATATTGTGTTTAACTATATCCACCACTCTGGAAGATTTGACCAATCTCAATAATGTTTTGCTAGGTATTGGTGCGCCAGCCACTTTCATTTTATGTTAATGCTATACTTTATGTCATCTTTATGTTTACATTTGTATTGTTTTATGAGCAGCGGATTTACATAAGCACAACAAGTGCTTCCTATCCAATGCTCAAAAATCCATGTGAATAAAATAAAATAATCACAGTTGATTGAATTGTTGAACATCTGTCGGAAGCTTAACCAACAAATCTGAAATGGGCAACATTTAGCTGCTTTCAAGATTAGAGATGTCTTAATATCCTGAATTGATGGTATAAAAAAAGTCTTATGATTCAGCCCAATGGCTGCAAACATGCTCCTCTGTCATACTGAATAGAACCGTACTGAATAACTTGTCCATGCAATAAGAACTACATTGTACATATAGTTTTACATTACTAATTGCAAGCCATTATTCTTGAAAGTGATTTCTTTGGTCATCCCTGTAAAACTAATATCTGTTGCACTTTTTGCCTTCCTCAGGGATGTGCTACAGAGATTCTTGGATGACCAGAGTGACTCGGTGGGAGTGGGATCAAGCCTGGTCCACAGCTTCCACTGGAGGTCACAGATCAAATACAACTACCAGGAGGACCAGAAGTTTGTCTCTACTAAGGTAGGAATGAATCATACAATGTCAGGTAATAAAATGATTGAGAAAGTTCATACCTATCCCATATTAGCCACTCACTCTTGTATTAGATGGGCTAGCCTTATGAAAGTGTACTTAATATGTACTCAGTCTAGTAGATGCCATATTTGTACCTTGTACAACTGATGTATAATAAAGTTATCTGCAATGTTATGTACATGTATCTGCCTTTCTGTCTCTTGGTAGCCATCACTGGAAGTTCCAATAGCTATCAATGTTAATCTCTGATATGCAATAGCTGAGATATGTGGTATTGATTCCACTTACCCCAGTGTTTGTGATGTTGTCCCAGGTGCTTGACATGGAGTTTGACTATGGGTTTGAGTACCAGGGCTCTGCCTCCCGCCTGGTCATCACTCCACAGACGGAGCGTGTGTTTGTCAGTCTGACCCAGGCCATCTCTGCAAACATGGGGGCACTCTGCCAAGGACCACCGGTACTTGTCTTCATCTTTATGAGTCCTGCTTCAGAAGCTGTAACTAAGAATCCCTACATTAGGGTTACCAAAAGCTGTGAATTAGGTTTACCAAGAAACCCTAAAGGTTTTTTTTTTCCATTTCCAGTACACATATCTTCATACATTCAAACTGCCCCCTATAAGGGGACCAGTGAAATATGTGAACAGGTGGTCATCGTATACAGGATTCTTAATGCTTGTGTCCATGGGGAAATCATCTACATATGGGACCAAAAAAAATAGTCATGTAGTCCTTATTAATAATAATAATAGATTCAGTCACGTACTGGTATACTGAAGACTGTAGAACCTGTACTAAGAGAACATTGTTCCTGTCAGGGTCATGGTAAACAGGAGACCCTGCGTGAGCTGAGCATGTGTCTGGGCTGTCCACTCTACAAGTTCCACTGCACACACTCCATGGACACATACATGCTGGGAGACATCTTCAAGGGCCTGGCCACCACAGGTAAGACTCCTGATGCTGGGGAAATAGCCAGTACAGAAAGACAGAGGGAAACTATAAGTTTTTATATGCCTCTATCTTTCATTATGAAATAGATGATGGAATCTCCAAGTTACCAATGAGCAGCTTTTTTGTTACTTTTCAGTAAGCAAATGTGCTAAAATATGTTGTTGGTATACAGCAAAATAGTATCACTAAGAACATTAAGCAATTATTCATATTTTTATTCTCAATGCAAGAATACTTTGGCACTGATTTTTTTCTTTTCCTCATTGAATGTTATATTATTACAATATTCAATGGATTGTGATGGAATAAACAATCCTAGGATATTTACAAAGGGGTGTACCTGGTGACATAACAAAATTTTCCGTTCCTCCCTCCCTCCAGGCTGCTGGGTGGGGTTCCTGCACCTGGACATCCTGCAGCCGTCCCTGCTGTCCGTCATGGCACAGCTGCTGCGGGCTGTCCAGGAGGCGCAGCAGGCGGGGAAACCTGCAGTCAACCTGCAGGGCGAGGAGGTCGGGACTTCAGTCTATATCTTAATTGTACTTAGTACTTATCCTCTTCATCCTTGGTGAGGCATACAGCCATTATCACTTTTTCTCTCCGTCTGGGTCTGTCAGGTACCATAGACTGAGCTCATTACCATAGAATGAGTTGATTGCCAGTAGAGCTCCATGGATGCCAAGCAGGAAAAGATACGAGGAAAATATAGGAGGACCCAAATCTTGACCATTGTACAAAACTCAATAATTATTATTATTGCCTGTACACTCGAGTGAGGATAGTTAGATATATTTAGTAAAATGGTATTGTTACATTGTAGTTGGCTTTACAACTTCTGTGTATGAAGGAGATATTAACACAAATAATGGATCGTACTCCTTTCGAAGGAAGAATTTTGTTTGCACATAATGGGAATCACTAGCAGATTTTCTCTTGAAAACTACAGCTAAAACTTTTGATCATTTGTCAGGCAAAAATATTTCAACAGCCTTCCCATAACCTCCTTACTACAGGTGACCCTACAGCTGGGAGGGGCTTGCTTTGCCACCATCAGCAGCACAGTTGTGATGGGCCACACCCAGAGTGATGGACACCTGTCATTCAAGTCAGCCGTGGCCTGTCTGCCGTCTGCCATCCTGCAGCTGTTCCGGGTGGTGTCTGTAGTGAACGCTGACCTGGGACTGGCCATGGAGGTCATGCTGTGGAGTCAGGGTAAGGATGGAACATTTCTTTTGCAATAACAAAGAAGAGAGATCTTTAAACAATCTGCACTGCCAAATTCCAAATTTTCCTTATTTACAGAAAAAAGAAACATACTCTTGACATCACAAAACCCACACATTACAGAAAAAATTCTAAAGAATTTCTAGCTAAAATGATACTGAGTTGCTTCAAAAATACTTACATTTCCAAATGTTTTAACCACATCGTTTTTATACTGTATCGTATGCAGGGTTCCTCCAGGCTGCTGTCCTTGCCAAGAAGCTGATCACCCTGCATGACCTGTGCAAGAAGATGTTGACTACAGTCACCTTCATCTCAACAAATACAATTCTAGGTACGCTACTAATAATAATGATAATAATAATAATATAAGAGACTTTTCAGTATTTTACAGCTGCCACAACTGGCATAATCAGTGTGTCAGTCAAAGTCTAACTTTATCCTCATGAATAGATACGGATAGATAGCATAGGTTTGTAACAATGTGCTGAAATTTGACAAAAATCAATAAAACATACACCATACAGCTTGATATTTGTAATGACTAATTTACAAAGTTCATATCCTTGACATGTTTTCATACCTTAGTTCATAAACATCTATGACTATAAAACATTGTGACATGCCTTCTCCAGGAGAGGAGGGTGTGAGTGGGACTCATGGCTTGAGTATTCAGAACCTGAAGAACGTCATCTCTGATGCGGGGGTGACTCTGGACGCCATGCTGTGTCAGTATGCCACAGAGAAGGAGATGGCAGCCATGGCAGCAGAAAGTATGTAACTGTTACAGTGTTATTTGATGACTGTGAAATAGTAACATAGACTGAGATACTGTTGTGGGTGGGGCAGGGAAATACAGCTTGTATATATAGCCTAGTATGAGGACCTGAGCTGATGAAGATTATCACATGGTGATATGCAATGTTGCTCACAAAATATATTACCTTAAGCCAAGAAGGGTGATAATTATGTGTGATTTGTGTGTGAACAGCAATGTATGAGAAGATATGGGTTTTTTTATGATACCTGATGTACATGTATGTTCGTAGGTGTAACAGACAAGTTCAATGCCTGGCCTCCTAGTAGCTTTGTATGATACTGCAGCAGAACTTCCTGTTTTGATATATCTTTGGCAGATGATGTGCATATTTCAGCATTTTGCTTATTACCAGTCATAATAAATACTGCTTTTTATGCACCATCTTGTCACTGCTGCTGCCTGCATAGGTCCTGACTTGAAACAAATGCCCTTGGTTATGGACATGGCTTCAAAATGGCGTAATAAAGGTATCCACTGTAGCAGCTTAACTAACCCTACATGCTGGTCTGCTGTCTGCTAGTCTATACTGTAGAGTCTCATAATTTTTGTGCATGCTGTGTGCTAACATCAGCATGCTTTATATGTTGTAACCTGCTATGTGCATGATTTCATAGGAAATATGGCAGGAAGGAGTAAACCTTGTGTGGCTCATACTTGTGTTGAATGCTGCATGCCTGTTTGCTAAAGGAGCACTATTACCTCACAATGACAAGTTATATGTCTTACCATATGGTCACTTACATGTATGTCTTATTCATTTCATCTTTAGTTAACACAACTGAGTGGCCCCTTCAACTCATAAAAGTTGATTTTCCAGGACATGTTACATTTAGTGTGGTGAAGACAGGAAATTGTAACCCATAGTTATTTAGTACAGACCTTTACTTGGTGTTCTTGACTGGGATGGAAGGTTTGACTGATAACACAATATGCAACTTACAGGTGTTCCTCTGTCCTCTTTAGCTGCGACATACATGTATTTTCTGAAGCCAGATTTGAGCCAATTGCCACCCCTAGACTGAGTCTTTTTCTATGGAACATTTGAAATATGCATGATGACAAACTATAAACTAAACTTTACATGATGGGTAGTCATACAAGTCATTAAATATCCAATATTGAAGTTATTTGGAGAGAGATGACAGGTAAGTTCCTGTACCACAGCATCTACCTTCAGTTTTACAGAATCCAACAGTTCAATATCAGAATTGAAGGGAATCTAACCTTGGTTCCTACCGTCTCCCCAGTGCGCAGTGTTCCAGGCTATGCGGGGAGTACCGTGGCTTCCAGTAAAGATTCTCCCAACGTGTCTCCTGAACCGGCTGGAGACCAGACAGCTCAGGGTCAGGAGGGGGAGAAGGATGCAGGCAATGGTCAGTTCCAAGTTCTGTTGACCACTAGTAAACACTCATCCTTAGACCTCATCCTTTGGTCTGTCAGGTCATCTATTTCTTCCAGCATGTCCTGTTTTGCACGTGCTTTGTAGCTTAATTACTAAGATTGACCATAATGTGAAAAGAAGGGCAAAACATGTGTATAGTGTTAGCTTCAAACAATAGGCTTTTGGCAACAAAGAAATACACAGTTTTGATATGAAAAAATCTTTTGCAAAGTTACTGAATGACTTCTATTTTTGTATGTGGAAATTGCCAGAAGCTCTTAGACCCAAACCATTGTTACAGTAGCATAAATCACTCACCTCACCTATCCCTAACCTTACCTTCCTGTAGAAGCAGACAGCCTGCTGCCGGATGCGGAGACGGTGGCGTCCATGGAGCAGGAGTCCCTGGTCACTGCCATCAGGAACACCTTCATGCCCCGGCTCAACGGTCGCGACGCCAGCATCTTCATGACCCTCATGGGTGACCTCTTTCCTGGGGTCAACGTTCCCATGACCTTTGAAGGGGAACCAACAGACCAGAGAAGTGAGACATCTTTTTTTGTAGAAGTAACTGACTCAGAGATGAAATAATATTAAAGGAAGTATAGTTGGCTAGAATACTATCATGAAGATATCATAGAAAGAATGTAGATAATTACTAATACGCTTAAATGTTTTTCTGCAATAAGTCAATCATAGCAACAAAATACAATATATAGATGATCACTGAATGTGAAATTACATATACGTGTATTATAGTTTCTAATGAAATCTACCAGATTAGTCAAGTAGTAAAGGAAGGGTTGGATGGTATTGACACAGTGACTGTTGTTCCACCAGGTGGTGCGAAGTTGAACACTCCCCTGGTGAAGGTGAAGAGAGAGGAGAAGGTGGAGCGCTTCGTTCCCACACCCACCAACGAGAAGCCGGGCCCTCTGGACGACATGGCTGCTGCCATCACCGTGGCAACCAACGAGCTGGGACTGATGCCCGGGACGGCCTTCCAGGCGCGAGTGGCGCAGCTGGCACAGATGGCTAACACACATCCTGCTGTAAGTGATGTAGAAATGAAATATGTAGCTATTGTAAGCTACTTCTGAATCATTATTTCTGCTTGTCATCAGGCACTGTCTTTTTTGCTTCAAGTGTATGGCTGCACATGTACAGTACCTTTCCTGATATGTAAGTGTTTGAACAGTCCCCCAAGGTTTGAGCTTTTTAATAGCCACATGCTAGTTGGACAGCCATGCCTGTATATATATATATATATATATCTTCAGCCTATCAAATAAAACAAACATTTGAACAGGGAAGTAGAGATTCAGAATCTTCAATATCTTGTGACCCTTGCGCTGTCTATTAAACAAGAAAATTGCCTTGGCCATCAAGAAAGCTACAAACTTTGTCAATGATCTTATCAAATGTATGCCTGTATGTATGTAACAACAAAAATGTTCCCCTACAGATCATCGTGACCGGCCCTGCCGGCTGTGGGAAGAGCAGCTGTCTGCAGACGTTCATCACGGCCCAGAGACAGATGGGGAAGACTGTGTCAGCACAGACTGTCTTCACCAGGGCCATGGAGTCCGAGGAGCTCTTTGGGTTCAACGACCCAGTCACAAGGTTGGTTGGTTGTTTGTTTGTTTGTTTGTTTTAGTAGGATCTCCATGATTGCTGTAACAACAGTAATGTTGTTGTTGCTGTTGTCTTGTCCTACTCAGATGTCAATTGTTATCCCACTGTAAAATAGTGCACTTTACACATTGGTAATGTTCTTTTCAAACACTAATCTCATTTAAATTAGAAATATCACTATAGAGGAAAGTATTTTCGTTTCCTGGTTGATGAAATTGTGCTTTGTTGCGTTTTTAAAATCTATCCAGTTGCTAGAGTAACTATTTCCTCGTGTATCTCATTACCTGAATGTCTAAACTTCAGCAACATTCTGTTACTGCATGTCTGTAATGTTATAATTTTGTTTCCCAGAGAGTGGCACCATGGCATCCTGCCCTCCCTCCTGAGGAGGTACTGCATGCTGCACTCCAGCGGAGACTTCCTCCGGAGCAAACCTGTCATGAAGATCCTACAGCTGGACGGAGATGTAACAGCCTTTGTTTGTCATTGTGGAGATTTATAACACTATAGACACAAAAGTAAAGTACTAAGCAACAAGCTTTCACTCAATCCTTTAACCCTGACTGGAAGCTTAAGTCCTTTGAAAGTGTGATTTGAGCAATTATTTGTCTTCTCTCTGTTACGTGTTTGTTATCTGAGCAACTTTACAACTGAGCAACAACTTTGATAAATGTTGTCGATATGTTTATAATCAATACACATGGAAGTGTATTTTGTTTAGATTATACATGAAAAGAAATTCTATCATACCTGTATTTGTCAACTTTCAGTCCAGCCAAATGTTGAGGAATTACATTTTTTAGAATATGTATAATTTTGTTTTTGTTACAGGTGGATCACAGTCAGATAGAAATGTTTGATAGCCTACTCCATCATGAAGGTAAGCAATTATAGTTTTTCCTAGGCTACAATAATTGTTCTTGTGCAAAACTGATCAATTCAAATGATCACAGAACTGAGCTGCATTGTATTTTAAGTTTATAATGCTGCATCTCTTACAAATATTCTTTTCTTTCTGTATCCAGGCTACCTTGTTACTGGAAATAATGAGAGGATGAAGATTGCAGACTCACTCCGGATCTTCTGGGAGGTAAGAGTCCATCTGTGTTTTCAACATTCAATGGGCAATGTCCTGATATCTCACAAATGAATTGATTGCTGCTGAAGGAGTGAAAATCCCTTTCCAAGTTACCTTCATTCTGAACCAGAAAAAAGATGATGGTATTGTTTGTCCCCAGATGGAGACCCTGGCCCACGTGAGCCCGTCCATGGTGAGCCGGCTGGCTGTCCTGAGTATGGACATGTCTGACGTGGGCTGGCAGCTGGTGCTGGCGCGCTGGCTGGACAGCAGGCCTGACAAGGAACAGGACATGCTCAGGAGTCTGGCCGACAAATACATAGGTAAGAAAAAATGTGTACAAAAACATCAATCAAGTCCTCAATCATTCTGAAGCAGGATGAAAGTATACTTTATTAACTTTCAACACAGTGGGAAAATGGGCCTGAACAGCACCAATCTAGTAAGAAATAAGAAATTCACCTCTTCTATGACATCAGTTTACGCAGATAGAACATGTGATTCTCTGTTTCAGATTGAACTGCAAGAAGTTACAGGCTCTGATAAACCTTTTCTTACATTTTGTAGAGGTATAAATATCAGTCAAGCCACCTCTTGAAGATGATTCTACATGTAAATTGATCTGTATCTATTCGTTTTCATCTTCAAGGACCGTGTCTGGAGTACTTGGCGGCATGCACCTCCCCAGCCGCCATGTTGGGCAGCCGTGAGTCAGCAGCCAGGCCCCGCATGAGGAGGGTCGTACCTGTCACTGACGCTAACATGGTGTCCACCTTCTGTGCATTGCTGGAGGTGAGAGAAAAAACAGTTAGACACTGATCAGCACTTAGTGGGCTGAGATGGTTTTTGAAAGGTACATGTCCTTGGTGCTGAAATGGATTCAATTGCAAAACGGTCATGTTTCTTGCATTGGATAATACTGATTTCAATAGCAAAAACTTCTCCTGTACTGGATACTTATCAGGAGTGATCAGAACTGTAAATATGTTAACTTAGCTGTCCCCCAGGCTCTCTACATCTGTTTGAGTAGTGCCCATCTGGTAATTTGACCAAGAGTTGGAATGCTTCATATTTGCATTTTATATGCTTCTTCACTGCAGAAGAATTCTAATGTGTAGCCCACCCATGTTTGATTCCCTACTGACTCTCCCCCTACAGGCCCTGCTGACCCAGCAGACAGATGTGACAGAAGTGGAGATGGAGAGGTTCTTCAACTTCGCTGCCATCTGGGCGTTTGCCGGCACGCTGGAGGGAGACTATCGCACAGCCTTCTCCCAGTGGTGGAGGCACCAGTTTGTGGCAGGCCCAGACGGCGTGGACTATCCTGAGTCAGGAGAGGTACACTGCTTTTATTGAGATCAAAAGTAGAAGAAATCTTAGACCTAAATCTGGGTTTTCACTGGACTGGACATTATTCTTCATTCAACAACAGCAAAAAGACTTTTCATTCAATAAGTGTCTCCATGTCTGATGTGCCCCTGAATCACTCCTGGAGTGAATATACAGTAGATTGAAGCTAATGTCTGCTATAGACTACCACCCATCCCTACCTCCTCGCCATTTGCCTCGATGAAAGATTATGATCAGATACATCTGATTTTGTTGGAGTGTCAAGTCCACAACTTTTTAACTTTTTCCAGGAAGAAGTCTAAGTTTGATAGATCTTGTACTCAACCCTGAACTGATACCAGAAATGAAGGTGGATTGTTTCAAATGCTATCAAACTGTTTAGACAGGGAATTGTGCTACTAATAGTGCTAATTGGATTATCCTGTGCTCTACCCCAGGTCTGGGACTACTACGTTGACACAGAGAACAGGGAGTGGACCAACTGGCTGGACGCTGTTCCTGCCTACTCCCTGCCTCATGGCCAGGGAATCCCCTCAGATGCCTACGTACACACTGTCACTGTGGAGGTGAGTAATGCTGATACTTTTTTTAATAGATTATGCCTGTAATTGTTTCTTTAACAACTTTTCTTTCCCTTCTGCCAACTGGAGTTCCTATGGCAAAAATAAAATATCCTAGAGAGATTTCTACATCTGCTATATATCAGTTCCTGATGCACCTGTGGATGATTGAATGATTGATTTTGGCATTTCATACAAGCTTTTTGATTTGCTACTGGTACTGGTTTGTTAAACCTACCTTTTGTGTCCCTGTCTCCATAGCAACTGTCATACCTGCTGGGGCTGCTGTTTGACTCCAACAAGCCGGTGATGTTTGTGGGTGAGGCCGGCTGTGGGAAGACTGCCATCATGAAGGACAGGGTGCGCACCTTCTGTATGGGGGAGATGGCTGAGGCCAGGTCCATCACTGTCAGGTCCAACAGGTGGGTCATGGTCACATTGTATACAGTAAATTCTTCTGTAAGTTTAGAGTTACAAGGAGACATTTATAGTGTCTTAAGTTTGCAATTTGTGTGCAGAGTGCATTGCTGACTGTATCTGTATTGTTTGTGGTGTGATGATTTTGCAGTGGAGAAGTTACATAAGAAGCTATATTTTGGCCAAGATGCCTATCCTACTTGCAATGATATTTCAACATAGCTACATGCCAAGAATGCTAGGCCCATTTTGCTAATGCAAAGTGATTTTTAAAAAAAATTAGTAGTGATAACATTTACTAGATGACTAACTAATGCAAATGTTTTCTGGCTGATCAGGTTCACCACAGCTCGCTGGCTGTGGAAGACAATAGAGGAGACCCTGGAGTGGAAACATGGCCGCACGTACATCCCCAAGGGCAACAAGAGACTCATGGTGGTGGTGGACGATATGAACCTGGCCAGGGTAAGTGGTGTGCCCATGCGATCGTTGTACGGTCACAAAACTGAGGGCATACTTGTGTCCAGCGAAATTCAGCTGTATCTTACGGAAAAGTTTTTGGTAGTGGTTGATTCTGTCACAACCTGCTTGAATATTCTACAGCTTAAAGATTTTATGATGACTTGCAATGAATATGACTGTGCTATAAGTATAACAGTGTACCAAGAAACCTGAGGTACAGTAATGTTTTGTGTTTGCCATACCAATTTATTCTTTTGCTAAATGAAACTCTAATTTGTGTGAAAATTATATCATCCTTCTTAGGTTGATGCACACCAGAGTCAGTCAGCCAATGAGATTATCCGCCAGCACATCGACTGTGGCGGTGTGTTTGACCCGGTGACCCAGCAGTGGCGACAGGTGAAGAACGTGACGTACGTCAGCACGGTCAACCCCAACACCACCGCGCCCGTGCCTAGCCTCAGCTCCAGGCTCCTCAGGCACTTTGCCATCTTCAACTGCCCTTATCCAAAGTAAGTCCAGATGGCATCCTTTTTAGCTGTCATCATTTGACATCCACTTGCAGTAGTTTCTGTGAGGTAACTGGTGCAGGAAGGCTCTTGGTCTCTTGTGGGGATATTCCCAATTGCCAACTGTAATTAGTCCAAATTTCAATGGAGTTTAAGCTTGTTGAATGGCTTTTGTTAGACATTTTGTCACAGCAAGACATTTTCATTATCCACTTTAGATATTATTATATTATATCAACTTTCTTGCAAAATATTCTCAAAACTTGTTTTGAAATGATTCCATCCATTATGAGTTGCTTTTCCTTCTGATTATTCATTGAGTATACCTACTGCTACACATGTATTTGTGGTTGAAGCTCAGGAAGTAACCTTGAGTCTACATTACTGTACCTCCAGGTCTAATGAGCTGCACTACATCTTCACCACCCTGCTGACCACTCACTTCACCTCAGCCAGCTCAGGCAACATGATGGCAGGCAGCTCCATACAAGGGCTGGCCAGCTCACAGCATGACAAGGTACAGTACACACTGCAGCACTTATGGTCTGATCATTCACAGTATAGCGAGAATGGCTCCCTAGTAAATGGTACTATGGCAATAATATGCTCATATGCTCTAGGGTGAAGGAAGTAACTATTATATTGTAAAGAAAGAAAAGTAGATTTCTGTTTTGAGCAAATTTTGTATACTTTGTGATTTGAAATATAGTCATTAACATTACAAGTGTATTTGGTTATACGTTGATAGCAATTAGAATGTAACCATCAACTCTACACTACCCACATGTCATAGGCTCACAGATGATCCAGATAACTGAAGAGAAGTCAAGTGTTTTTTCTGTATACTAACTAAACAAACCACTCCCACTGCAGGGTGGTCAGGAGTCCCATGGTGAGGAGCATCTGAAGGACCTGCTGTCCACCCTGGTTACCGTTGCCCTGGAGACGCAGGACAAGATGCGCTCCATGTTCCTCAACACCTCGGAGAGGGTGCACTACATCTTCACCATCAGGGACCTGCTCAGGATATTCAAGTCAGTCCCACTCCCTTCTCACTACCTCAAATTAACATTTCATTCTACTGGTTTAGTAGTCAGCTGCTTTAGACTATTACAGCATTTTTACCAGGTACTTTCTGTGGTGCTGAATTTGTTGCTGTTAGTAGGGGCCTTTTGAAGCGCAACCAGTGGATGTCATGATTGTGTACTTTTGTCAACTTCTTTAAATTTCATTTACTGCAACTACCATCAGTATTCAACCAAAAAATGTCAGAGAAAAATCAACTGTATCTGGTTTTGGTGCTAGTTTGATATGATGAGAATAATAATAAGATGTTCCTCAGCCCCTGACTGTGTCATTTACTGCCATGTAGGAACCTGTGCCTCTCCCTGAAGCCCGGCTCCAAGCCGGAGGATCTGCTGTACCTGTGGACCCACGAGTGTAACTGGGTTTATGGACATCGGATGGTTAACGAGGTGGACGTGTCCAGATACAAGCAGGCCTTCGTCACAGCTGCCAGAAAACACTTCACTAACGAGGAAGAGGTGTGTGTGTGTTTGTGTTTGTGTTTGTGCATGTGCATGTGTGTGCATGCATGTACACGTGTGTTTTTGCCACACAGTGCTGCTTGTGTGTGTATACCATGAGTGGATGAATAGGATGTTATGTGGTAGACATTTCTGCCATGGGCAGCTTTGAATTCGGTACTTGTTGTAATGGTACTTTTGAAGAGTTAATTTGATATGAATGTCATGTGCACCCATGCACTCAAAAGGTTGACAAAGGTTGACAAAAGTATGTAGGACATTGAATTAAGAGTTGAACATGAAAAAATTCCACCAATATTCATACAATAATATCTATACTTGGTGTGCAAGCTTACAGTTCCCACTGCCATGTCCTTCTCACATTAATCACAACACTATGCCATGATTGTTCTCCTGCAGCTGAACCTGGTGATCAACCCCAGACAGCCCATCTTCAGCAGCATCGAGGAGAACGAGAGCGGGCTGGTGCAGGCCGGGCCGCAGGTGGGGTCAGAGGTCGGGGCGGAGGAGAACACCACCGACATGTTTGTGCCGTGCTTCGACGAGGAGGCCATGAGAGACGTGATGAAGGAGGGGCTGCGGGAGTACAACAAGAGCAACCCCATCATGAAACTGTCCTTCCATAATGTAAGACTACAATAATAACTATTGCAAAGTATTGCTTTTTCACTCTTTTCTAATCATTTCAGGGTTTTTTTGTGTGTGCTGGAGTCAGTCAAGGGAGGGTTTTTTTTTTTTATTTTATTCACATGGATTTTTGAGCATTGGATAGGAAGCACTTGTTGTGCTTATGTAAATCCGCTGCTCATAAAACATAATACAAATGTAAACATAAAGATGACATAAAGTATAGCATTAACATAAAATGAAAGTGGCTGGCGCACCAATACCTAGCATAACATTATTGAGATTGGTCAAATCTTCCAGAGTGGTGGATATAGTTAAACACAATATCAAAGATACGGCAGTTGGTAGGGTAAGGGAGGCTGGGGCTACCTGTAAGAAGTAAAGTACATAATGTGGCGTCATTTACGTTGAGTGGGTCGGAAGGAAGTATGTTTTCAAGATGAAGGCAAGATATGGATAACAACATTTTGGTCCTTTCAGTATTATAACATTTGCAGTGTAATAAATAGTGTTCTGGTGTCTCATTTGGATGCCCACATTTGCACTCGGGACTACTGATACAGTGATGCTGGAATAGGTGGTAGTTCAGCTGGCTGAAACCAAGCCTGAGTCTGGTAAGGTGAGTCACATGGTGTCCGTGGCCGTGAGAGTAGTGGGGATGTCTGGGCATGCTATCAAAGCAAGACTCTAATTCATTTTTGAATGCACGAATGGATGGGGATTCTTTGGCGGTCTGGGGTAACTTGTTCCAAGAGAAAACAGCAGAAGGCAAGAAAGATTTTTTGTACTTTTCAGTTCTGATGGTAAGAGGGAGATAATTCTGGTCAGTACGCAGGCCATAAGGGGTGGAATCACGGATAAGTGGGGGAACTAAGTCTTGTAGATATTTGGGAACTAAGCCATTGGCCATTTTATAAAAGTGAACAAGTTTGAACTTTTCGCGTCTGTTGGCAAGTGTTTCCCAACCGACGTCACATAGAATGCGGTGGTGATTCGTCCCTCTCATTGCGCCTGTGCAAGCCCGGGCAGCGGACACCTGGACTGACTCAAGGAGGTCTGAATCCTTCATAAGAACACCACACCAGGCAACATTGGCGTGCTCAAGTAAAGGACGTATCATGGCTTTGTACAAGATTTCAAGCGTTTTCCGTGGCACAAAATTTGATATTCTTGTCAACAAGTTAACTCGCTTCATTGCTTTCGTCACCAGAGTTGACACGTGGAGTGACCATGATAAATTTGGAGTGAGATGTAAGCCAAGGTGCTGGTGAGAGGGGGTTTCAGTCAGCTGAACACCTCTAAAGTATAGTGGTGGGTGAAGAACCTTTCTTCTTTTAGAGGAAAAAGTCATCAGTTCTGATTTGCCGGGATTGAATGTTACAAGCCACTGGTCTGACCAGTCTGACACTACACTGAGATCATGATTCAGTCTGTTCGCTGAGACAACGGGATCCATGATTATCTCTAACAGTGCGGTGTCATCAGCAAAAAGGCGGGAATCTGTTCGTAGGTTGTCAACAAGGTCATTTATAAAAACAAGAAAGAGCAATGGGCCAAGAAGTGACCCTTGTGGAACACCTGCATCAATTGATAGCCATTCAGAGCACATTCCGTTTATAACAACTCGCTGTTTACAATCGCTCAGGTAGGATTCAATCCATAATAAGAGAGACCCAGTAACTCCTAGGGAGGGTTTCCTCTGCAGGAGAGAAGATGCCCTGGAATGAGCTCTCACACAGCTCTTATCCAGTAGTAGTTCCCAGCATAGGGACATTTTGGCAACCCTGCAATACACTTAGTAGACTATTTGACCAAATGTAATGACCTCTTAGGGCGGAAGTAAACGCTTCCACAGAAAAATCCAGGGGATAAAACACCCCTGTCAAAACAGTGCAAGGGAGCTAACCCTAGTCAAAAAGGCCAGTGGGAAAGGCCCCACGTAGCAGTGTGTAAACCCATTTTTTATGCATGTTACAAATGTGTAATAAATGTGTTTGAAAACATTCAATGTGTTTGATAACCATCTCTCTAACCTTCTCTTTCCTACAGACCATCATGGAGAACATTGCTCGCCTGTGTCGTGTGATCATCAGTCCCCATGAGGTGTCCCACGCCATGCTGTGTGGGGAGGGCTGTCCCGGGGTGGCCCCTCTCATCGCCCGTCTGTCTGCCCACCTGTGTGGCTTCCAGCCCCTCAAGATCAACCCGCTAACAACAGACTCTGGAGACGGAAACGGCCAGGACAAGCTGACTCTCTTCAAGTCTGAGCTGCTGGCAGCCTACACTAGAGCTGGAGCTAAGGTGGGGCAGTCTTTCTATTCCCTATCTTTCCTCTAATAACAGTTTTTGTGTCCATTTCTCCGTTGCACCTCCTCCAGAGAGAGAAGCTGGTGTGTTACGCCGAAGGGCGGTTATACCGGCTATACCGATACAGATACAGAGTCTTACTGACTGTATCTTATTGAAGATTCTAAGACAACTGCAGTACCAAACATTGTAAATGTATTGGGGAAATGGGTACCACAACCCCTATAAGAATTTCACAAATAGTTCAGGATATGGAGACAAACATTTAAACATTGAGGTTATCTCTGAATAAAGTGCTATTGTGCAGATTTGTCCACCAAGCATTATTTTGAAAGCATCCCATGTGTGCAAAGGTCCCTCTTAAAACTATGAGACTTGTAGTGTGGCAAATGGTTAAGATTGGGGGTTCTGTTTGAAAAAATGTGTCCAGACCCTCTGTGACTTTCTATCCCCTATCTTTCCTATAATAACAGTGCTGTGTCCATTTCTCCATTGCCCCTCCCCCAGGGAGAGAAGCTGCTGTGTATCCTGACGGAGGATGAGCTGTTGGAGGAGGAGTTCCTGGTGCCGATCACAGACTTTGTGGTGACGGGGGTGACGTCGCGACTCTTCACTCCCGAGGAGCAGACCGCCATCGTAAACTCCATCAGGACAGAAGTGACCCAGGCAGGCCTCACCTACACCAGGGAGATCGCATGGGACTTCTTCCTCAGGTCAGTCTGAGACGGACATTAACATGTAGCAGTTTTTACACTACTGACTCACAGGAGGTGGAAGATCATGGATCAAAATTCGTCTAGCTTATTATATAATCTGCCCAAATGCTCTCTGCTTGAATGATGAATACTTCTTACCAAATATTCCAATGCTTTATACCTTTTAAGCAACTGTTTTATATTTAAAAATAAATATATAAATACGGTTTATATATAAAATATGGGGCTTAGGGGGCTCAGGGTAGTATAGCTTATTAGTCATATTACGGTTTGGGCCAGCCTGCCCCTTGCCAGCACCCAAGTGCTGACACATGACAGATTGAAAGAAATGGATTAAGGCAGTGTGTTGAGCTGCAAAGCATCCCCACGACCATCATGGTCAAGAAACTGGTAAGCCCTAAGCATATATAAAATATTTTACTTCAAAATTTCCCTTAACAGAACTGCCACGAAGAACTTCCGGATCTGCCTGATCTTCCCGTCCATGGGACCCGACTTCCAGCGCCGCTGCCGCTCGTTCCCCGCCCTGTTCAGCCGCAGCAACATCCTGTTCCTGGGCCACTGGGAGAGGCAGCAGCTGGTGGAACACGCCTACTATCATCTGAAAGGTGGGCAGGAAACAGGGCAGGCTCTGACCTGCTGACTGGGATTTTTGTTGTTTAGACACTGATGAACTCCCTTCTGTCATAGCCAATATAGATCCTGTAAGCAGAGTCACAGTTTCTTGTAAGGAAAGGGAAACAGATTTATATGATCCCACTGCTTATTTTACTGACCAATACAGATCAGAGTTCTCCCAGCATCTAGCACTTCTCTGAATCTTGTTGCTAATGAAGTACCAAAGTTCCATTGACAGAGACTCCTCAGTTGCTTTTTTCCCAGTACTGACTGTGGTGCTGAATCTGTTGCTGTTAGTAGGAACCTTTTGGACGTCGGTGGATGTCATTAATTTATTTTTTGTGCAGTCAGATACTTCATACCACTGATGTTTTCCCATGCAGATGCTGAGAATTTCCCAGTAGTTCAGCGGGAGAACCTGGCCCACCTCCTCTCCTCCATGCACATATCACTACGGCAACAGGACGGACAGGAGATCAGCTGGGGAGAGTTTCGCCACATCACCAATGCCTCATACGAGAAGTTTGTGGAACGGTAAGGCAGACATCTCTGAATGTAACATCAACACCTGCTGACATGGAGAAACTCTTAACCAGCTCTGCCATACCTTTACTCTTCTATACTGTTATCAAACTGAATACTGTTAGTTTCATCGAATGCAGCCCAACTTTCTCATCTGTGAATCTGGTCCTGGAAGTGTATTGTGTACTGAATGTTATACCGATATACTGTAATTTTGTTGTGATGTGTTTTGTGATAAACCTAAATAGAAGAAGAGAACAACTGTAGTGTGCATAGTGGGAAATTAATCCTGCTCCATACATGGAAATGTGTACTATTTGTATTTAAAGAGATGCTAGTAGTGTTTTGTCCTTCCTTCTTTATCCTTCTGCTTTCTTCTCTCTTCATCCTGACTGCCCCACTGCTGCACAGTGGACCAGGCCAATAGCCTGACAAGTAAGTATGTTCCATCAAGTAAACATAGTAGGGTGGCACTTTAGTAGTACAAGCAACTTAGTGAGAAGTAATGTTGTAACAGTATATAAATCTCTGTAGTAAAAAGCCACCTCTCACACAAACAATGCACTGTCATTCTGTCTTGAACTTCTACTGAGTAGCAAGTACACATATTATGCAGATATAGAGAAACTAATATGAGACATTGTCAGCACTCATCACAATCAACACAAATCCCCCTTCTCCTTTTCAGGTTTGTGTCCATGTCAGCCCAGAGGTTTGAGGAGGTCCAGTTCCTACATGAGAGGATGAAACAGATCCTGGAGAGGATCGATGCAGAGAACAAGAAGGCCATGCAGCTGAAGACACAGCTGGAACATGAACGTGTCGTGCTACTGGAGAGGAAACAGGCAAGGACACGGACTTTACATGACATGGGCTGATACAGTGCATAGAATGCAAAATACAGCCTGGAATAACATTTTTAACACGTTTATTAAAACTTGTGTTTCCACTAGGCTTACTTGTTGAGTCACCATCAATCCCATGACTGAGGGGTTTCTGACATAGACACTAATCTCGGACTTCGTGCCATTTCCGATGACTGACTCATTGAGTTTTCATCATTGTCTGTCCCTTACTTTGGTTGCCTTTTGGGGCATCAAAAATACTCTATCAAACCACCTCTCTCCATTATTGATGTACTTTGCACTTGATAGTACCACTACAGTATTCATGTTGGTGTTCCTCTCAGCAATCCTGTACTAACCTAAGGTACTAAATACACAATACAATGCAGGGCACCATCCAGCTTCTGGCACAGATAGGACAGGACACTGCCATCACTGAGCAGCAGGTCCGCATTGTCAGGAGACAGCTGCAGAAGATATACCATCTGAAGAAGGTAAGGTTTGGTAGGAAAGTATGCAGTTAGAACAGACTGGAGGAAATGTAGATTGCAGAATGTAAAACTGAAACAGTTTGATAGATCATCTCTTAGTTATGGGTCTGATACCCAGACATGTAAAAATGTATGCCTGTTAAATGAACTAGTAATTCATTTTCTGAAAGAGGACATTTTGTGTTAAAGTCACGATTTATTCAACCTTTCAACCCCTGTAAGTAGATATTGTTGGGTGTCTGAGTCTTCCATTTTAACTGCCTTGTATGTTACACATACATACATGTGTATTTACAAGCTCTAAGACATAGCTTCCTCTTTTGTTTTCTCCAGTCCCTGCCAGACTACCAGGTGGCCCATGAGCGAGCTGTGTACAAGGCCATTGCCATTGTGGCAGACACTAAGAAGGTGGTGGAGGCCATGAACATGGACCACCTGGTGGCCCTGCGCTCCCTGCACCAGCCTGACCCAGTACTGGAGGACCTCATGGCAGCCATCATCATGCTATGTATGCAGCAATCTATACTCTAACACATTGTAATGCAGAGTGTTTTGTACAACAGTAATGTCGTCATGTTGCTAATTTTATCACAGTTCAGATGGTTGATGTCAGGTTTCTTGAGACCTAAGGATATCTTTTTTTTTTCAGTGAAATCACCCAACTCTGATTTAACCTGGAACAAGGGGGCCAAAAGGCAGATGGCCAACCTGGAAAGGTGAGTAGAAAAACAACAAAATATTTCTACATGAAAAATGATAATATTTGACACAATTTCTGACACAACATTATGATACTATGCCTTCAAACATTGTACAGAGACCACACATCAAGTTTTCTATGCATTACTTATTATAGTCTAAGAGTGTTAAGTTCCAGTCATGACGTATATTAAATGTGCCCTGTACAGGTTCCGTGAGGAACTGCTTGCTTTTGATGAGAACCAGCTGCCAGAGGAGACCATCGAGGTTGTGGAGCAGTACTTGAAGAAACCAGGATTTACCCCTGAGACCATGCAGGCTAAGGCAGACAACAATGTGGCTGTGGCTGCACTGTGCAAATGGGTCAAAGGTGTTGTCAGGTGAGCAACACTTATTTTGTAAGCTATAGTCTATGGTGACCTGCATATGTCTGAGATAGGATATAGTTGTTTTTTTATGTAGTTAGTTGTAGTTAGTTATATACACACAATTTGTTTATACTGTAAGCAATAACAAGAGATGCCAGTATTGGATTTTTGCTGTATCTTTGTCTTGAGATTGACATTTTGCTTGCTTGCAGGTACAACCGGCTGATGATCTCCAAGGTGAAGCCCCTACACAACAAGGTGGAGCAGACAGCAGCTGCTGTGGAGATGGCTGAGCACAGGATGTCAACTCTGGAGACTAAGAGAAAGGTCAGGTTAAAATGTGGTTGTTCTTCATTCCATCACCATTGGATCTTCACAAACATACAATCATGTAACACCCCAAAATAAAAAAATGAAAATTATCAAACCCAATGATATTATTAATGCAAGCAACACAATCATCTTCTTCTACAGTACAATCATACCACCTCATTTCATTCACCTGCCTTTTCAGTATTCTTCAGAAATATGTGTTTGGACAAAAGTCATGGTAAGGCTTATGATGTATAGCCAAAAAAGACATGGAACATTTGTTTACAACGGTCTTAATGTCATGACGATGTCTGATGACTCCTTGTTGACATTGCAGGCCCTGGAGACCAGGTTACAGGACCTGGCTAAGGGTTTTGAGGAGGCCACAATTGACAAGAAGGAGCAGGAGGCTAAGACAGAGCTGATGGACAGGAACCTGGACACAGCAGCCAGGTTCAGGAAGGTAAGATTAAGGTGTTTTAATTCATAGAAAAGATTGTGAAATTGTTTTTACTGCACATCACTTTTTATATACAATGTCATGTACATGTATAGGACTGCCATGTACAAGTATGGTCAGACTACCCCTATGGCTGATGAGCAAATGAGCACAGCATTATGTAATTTAGGCTTTAATGCACTGAGTAACCGCACTTAATTTTTACCCATTTCAACTCCTGCTCTGTTGAGAAGTTAGTTAAAATGGTCTGTCACTTTCCAGATCCTTGCAAAGGAGCACGAGCACTTCGTACAGATTTTCAACTCCCTGGCAAGGCGGGAGGTGGGCATCGCTGGAGGCGTTGCCATGGCAGCAGCGTTTGCCATCTACCTGGGACCGTATGATCACGGGTTCCGCCGCATGATGGTGACCCTACACTGGCCCCACTGTCTGCAGGAGAGAGGCGTGCCGCTGGTCATCGACTCCCTCGACCCCATGAAGGGTAGGTTAAAAGTCTGGTGCGGTGTGTTCAACTCCCATACTTGTTCTGATATTACTTAGTGCTGAGTGCTAATCTACATTCTTCATTAATTTCTTGTCAGATCTTGGTGACATCTGACATCTTGCAGTTGTTTCTGTGATAGAATTAACTTTGCATGAGGATTTATAACATGTTGATTATTCTTCCTTTTGATCGACCCAGGCCATGTCATTGACTGGGCTATTGACACAGGCAGTCCCATGATCAGGGACTACTCCGAGAATGGCTTCACCATGGGAGAGTCATCTAAAGCAGAGAGTGAACTCTTTGTAAGTGTTCCTGTTCAGATAAAAGCACTTCTTATGTTCCTTAGAATCCTTACTGTACTATAAATTCCTTAACTTTATAGGGTCTGTATCTGTGGTAGAGGGGAAATGTGCTTTAGTGGTAAAAATTGCACTATGATGATGATATTGTGTGACAATTTTGGTACAGGCTACAGCCCAGCAGGAGTTGAGCACAGCCAAAAGTATGGAGAGAGAGCCACGTGGTGAGGGAGATGGGGCAGAGGAGAAGGTGCAACTTGAGGAGACTGGTGAGTTCCCTTATAGGATTCCCATCAGATAGATCGAAGAAATGTTAGCATAGCATGGTATCATGAGTATGTTATTCTCCTGTTATCTTTTCAGTCCTATAGAATACTGACATTTTGGGGTCAGTTATCAAATTTGTTCGACATTAAACTGATCTGTGCATGTGTAGCAGTCAAATCAGTTTGGGCTTCAATGCTGCTTTCCCCTTGCAGCTGGTCCTGACAATGACAAGAGTGGTACAGAGGAGGAGACAGAGGTTCCTGCTACAGAGGCAGGTACTGAGCACCCCCAGACAGAGACAGGAGGCGAGGGGCAACAGGAGGCAGACATGCAGTATGAGAGTGAGCCAGCAGAGGGCAACGGTAGGTGTTGTTTCTTGTTTTCAACTTCCAATATACACATGTCTTAACTTTATAGTTTATACTTATACATGTTGCATGTACAAATGTATATCTACCCTTTGTAAACTAGTGAAACAGACAATAAGACAAATTTGAGTGATTGAATGTTCGCACCATTATGAAAACCTATTGTCTTCTAGAAAATGAAACCCCTATGATGTGTATTCTGCAGGTATCTTGCTTCAAATTTCACTATTAGTCTGATGTATGCTGTAATGTCTGTGTGCAGGTGGTGAGAACGAGAGTGAGGTCAGCAGCCATGCCAGTGCAGAGGGTTTTGTAGGCTACACAGTGGAGAACATGCCTGTCATCAGCAAGCAGGAGTACAACAAGTACATGGGAGCCCTGGTCAAGCTGCTGGTGGGAGGCAAGCAGTTACAGGTGAGACTCTGTGGCCCTGCTGTGGTTCCTTTTGAGATCTGACAAGCTGACTATTGTTGCCACTATGAGATGTGTGACCTACATTGTAGTCTGTTTCAGGTAGATGTAATGCTTTAAGCTTTTATCAACTTGCACTTTGTGCCAGTTTGAGGAAAATTGGTAAATTGGTCATTATCAGTTACTGTAATCTCCAGATGAAAAGTTACTGTAATCTCCAGATGTCATGAGAAATAGGAGAGCAGGTTGCAAGTCACCATTGTTCAAGTTAGAAAGGTATCAGTCACTTCTATGTATGCATAGTAACACAATAACTCCCAAGCTGAGTGCTGATAACATGTACCTGTACTGACAGGAGTGGAACACCCAGGGCTTCAGTCCCCATCAGATAGAGAACATGGCCGTCCTGGTGTCGTCCTGGAACCGCCCGCCCTTCCTCATCGACCCCCACGGTGACGCCGTCAGGTGGCTGAAGAAGGTCATGAAGAAGCAGGGCACAGAGCTGGTGTCTGTCGACATGCAGAGGAGGTAAGGCAGAGACATGTTATTCACAGTCCAGACTGTGCATGATGTACAAAATGGCTAGGATACTGGTAGACATACCAACTACTAAGTAAGGCACAAAGAAACTGTTATGTAGACATGATGAAGATAAGTTCATAACTATGGACAAACCATCATGGTATTGCAATATATGCAATATAATAGACAAAAAGCTACCCAAGAATATTGGTAATACACAGCTTGCTGAAAAACATGGTATTCTATGCTGCTTTACTGTAAGAGATACAAATGTGGAAAAAAGGGCTGAAATAATTCTCTGCAATGTCTCGATACCTTAAGAAAAGCTCATTGCTGATGATTTGAGAAAGGAGATCGTGAAAAAAAAAAATCACAAGACCTGAAAGAAGCTACAATTGTATGCCAATGTGGGGAAGTTCTCATGGTCCATGTTTGTGCCCTCACTCCCCTCCCCAGAATGGACCCTGCAGTACTGGTGCAGATAGAGAGAGCCCTGGTGACAGGCCTGTCCCTGCTGCTGCAGAATTGTACAGAACACGTGGAGAGTATGCTCACTCCTCTCATCTACCTGCAGAACCACATGGATGTGGAGGAACCTGAGGGTAACGATGCCTTGATACCGTAATAATATCTTGAAATATGTTTGGTAGATTTATGTTCGCAGTTTTTGTGGTGACCTTTTCATTGTGAAATTACCACGCTGGAAGCAATAGATTTCGTCAGTTAAGTATGCTGTGTGCCCTACTGCAAAATTAAACCCTGAATCTTAAATCCATGTACAGCAGTCTGTCACTAGATGAAGAACTGATCCATGTTTAGGATATGGATGTGTGGCAAGAGTAAATAAAACACCTAAGCACAATGTGTATATCTTTGTGCCCCATGCTCTGCAGAGCCCTACATTATCCAGTACTGTGGACGGAGGTTACAGAGCCCACCATCCTTCCACCTGTACCTGTCCTCGCTGGTCACTCGACCACAGCTGGACGCTGAGATAGCCTCCACCACTGCCCTCATCAGCTACACAACGTCGTCAGAAACTCTGCAGGCAAGTTTGGTCTTCCCTTGCAAGACCATTATTAGCAGATATTGTTACCTTAGTTGATTTAGAAACAGGCATACAGAGACAAGTCATCTGCTTGAAGGATCAAGGGAAGGTGTTCCTGTCCTTGGTGCTGATCAAGCAATTGCTTCACCTTGTAAAGTTTTACAGTTATAGAGGATGATATGAAATGCTGGAATATGAATAATGCTGGGATGAGGCCATATTTACTACTGTGACACAAACTAGAAACCATGGTAGGTTGTATGAAGTCAATGTAGCTACATGACAACTTTGACATGGAACTGACTGAAAAATCCATGATTTCAGGAGGACCTTCTGTCCCGCACCTTTGCCCGTGTGCGTCGTGACCTGTACCAGGAGCAGAAGCTGGCCCTGCTGGCCATCCGGGAATACCGGGTGGCGCTGAAGAGCCTGGCCAAGCGGCTGGCACAGCGGCTGCTGGAGGGGGAGTCAGATGACATCTGGGACAGCACCGAGTTTGTGACCAAAGTGGTGCAGCAGAAGCAACAGGTAGTGTTTCATCCCACCCCACAGCCCAGTGGTGGAACATTACCTGAAGCCTCCGCTGCCTACAGTGTAGTCCAAGTGTAGAGCTGCCTATGGTGTAGTTTGAGGGTAGAGTTGCCTGTAGTTTACATGTAGCTGCTGTCCTACTACATCTTGCATAGTTCTACATATAGTAGAGCAACTTTGCTTTGTAGTAAACTTCTCTACTAGATGTAGGCTGTTCTATTTCAAAATTTATCCAGTTTTTTAATTGAGTGATTGTTTTCTTGCACTGTTCTATTTGCTTACTACATCTGTATACTTTTATACACTATATGCCAGACAGCAATGTCTGTACACTGAAAACTAATAAAATTCCAGCTTTTAACTATTATTTTGCTTCTTAACAATGCTAACATGGATGGATATCTGCCTGCACCAAACATTTTGATACATGATGTTTAAGTAAATAAATGCCTTACCAGATTACTTGGTATATGAACTTTATGGTATGGACAGTTAAGACAAAGAACTCCATATACGGCATTCTTTAACTTTCAGCCTGATGACTTTCGATCATATTTTGTTGCATTGTATATGTTCTGAGGAGACAGCCTTGTAGAGAAACCTGGTGTTTTCTGTTGCCAGCTCCTTACGGATTTCTTGTTTTCAGATCTGTCCAGTAAGTAAATAAACAAGCACCCGTCTGTCCCGCCCCTGTAGGTTTACCACAGGTTACAGCAGGCTGAGCAGGTGTTGGAGGACATCCACGCCCTGCGGGAGGAGCTGGCTCCGGTGGCGGAGCGCGGCGCCCTGCTCTTCTCCCTCCTGCGCAGTCTGGAGATGGTGCAGAGGGAGTACAAGTTCTCCAAGACATTCTTCCTCAACCTGTTCGACAAGGCTGTGGGGGAGGACTTTGAGGAGGAGGAAGAGGAGGAGGAGAAGACACAAGGCAGTGCAAGCAAGGTAAGGCATGATCATATGTTTGCAAAGCTGGGCTTAGTGTTTCAAAGACTAATACATGTAGCAGTTTGTGCATGTATGGTTCTAGTAATTATATAACAAAGTATATTTTGTGTAAGCTTTTTTATGTCATCTTTCAGGACACTTCTCCCAGACAAGACAAGGACAGCAGACATGGAAGATCTCCCAGATCTTTCAGGGGAGAGGAAGGTAACAAATTTTTAGTCATATTACTCTTGAAAATGCTAAGTCTTATAAAAGAACTTTTACCAGAGTAGCTGCCTATGTTGATCTGTAACATTGTGTGCTCAAAATATCAGTCTACATGACCGTCTAGAACTCCTGTGAATTGTTGTTATTTGATGCCTGGGAGGAAGTTGACCATTGCTAACAATTTGACACCTTTGCAGGTGTGTCTATAGCTGGTAGTAACAAACAGCAGGAGAACGAAGAGGGCGAAACAGAAACCTCAGCGGAAAGTTCCCGTCCCAAGAGTGAAGAGCTGGTCCTCCCCGACGCTCCGGACGTCCCGACGCAGGGCGTGTCGTTCGACAGCATGTCGGTGAACCAGACCAAGATGCTGGTGGACGGGCTGACCCAGCTGGTGTACGACAGCGTGAGCCAGTCGCTGTACCCGGAGCATCGCCTGCTGTTCGCCACCATGCTGTGTCTCCACATGCAGCTGGAGGGGGAGGAGTTTGCCGAGGAGGAACTCAGTCTACTCCTGCAAGGTAGAGGTTTTAAAGCAGGGTTCAAGCAGCAATGATTGGTGATACTGTAGACATTAACATTTCAGGAAAAGCCATACAGTTTGGAGTAAATACTTTGTAATGTTGGAGATTTTATTACATGTAAGGCTGAAGATTTTTGGGGGGGGGTGAACACACACTGACATATGGCATTGACAGGCCGAGTGGCCAGGCCAACAGATGCGAGATCAAGAGGTCAGCAGTGCAAATCCAAGTATTCCTGGCTAGACATTGTGTTCTTGGGAATGGCACTTTACACGACTTTCCTCACTCCACTCAGGTGTAAAATGGGAGAGGGATGGGCTCTGCCTTCCAATACTGTGCCCTAAACACTCAAAAAGGCTATGGGACTTTATCTTTACCTAGTACCTTTACCTTTTACACACTGACATATCTTCCTTTGACATTCACAGGAAACCCAGGCCTGGGTGGAGGCCTGCCCCTGTCCCTGGAGGACTTTGACTGTGAGGCCCCCATGCCTGAGTGGATCCCGCAGGACAAGTTTGAGGACCTGATGGCCATGTCGGTGCTGCCTGGCCCGCTGGACAGCCTGTGTAAGCACGTAGCCGAGGATGCAGACGACTGGGAGAGGTGGTACCAGTCCCTGGCGCCAGAGGAGGAGAGGCTTCCTTACAGGCCACCAACAGAGGAGCAAGGTGCTGGTCTAGTGTCTAGTCTATTAGAGTATTGCCATATTAACTTCTTCATTTCTTAGGCTACTGACACTCACAGGTTACCAAGTCCAAAACCTAGAAAGTTTTGGTCAAAGCTGGACAGTCATTGGAGGGGAATGGAGTACACACCAAACCAAAAAATCTCAGTTTACAAGCTCTGGACACTGGACACAAACAGATCTCATTAGCAATTTACTGCCTCTTATTCAAAAATTATGATATGACATGATATTATATGGTATGATATGATATGTTTTAAGTTTTCAAGGTCTGTTACCGGATTACATTCTACCAGTGGCTTGAACCTTAACTATTGTGCATTATGTGGAAGTAATCCATGTACATTGTCTGACAATATTACAGCAGCTGATGCAGGCACTGGCAGCCCAGACCTGGGCCCCATGACAGACTTCCACCAGCTGCTCATCATGCGCTGTCTGCGCCCAGACAGACTTCCCTTCGCCATGGCCAAGTATGTGCAGAAGCACATGCCCGGGGTGCTAGGCAACAAGGCCACGCCCAGCCTGGAGGCAATTCTGGACACTGCCGGAGACTCACATATCGGTGAGTGTCAGGCTTACATGTCCTAATGTACTTACCAAGGTTGCTCTTATCCTCCTGATCACCTTCATCAGCTCCTGATATGTCTCACTCTGTGAACTAATAGAAGAAAATTTCACAGCTTTGTAAAGAATTGTATTTCGGATTGCATTTTCAACAGCTACATGTAATGAAAATTGATGGATCTGAGAACCTTTTTCAAAATTATTAATGACAGATGAAATGCCCTCCCCCCAGGTGTGCTTGTGTTGCTGTCACCCAGCCTAAACAGCTCCAGTCAACCCAACATCGCAGCCATTGACATCAAGAAACATCCTGTGGAGGTGCTGAAGAGTCTAGCAAAGGTTTGAAATTTATTAGCCTGAATGAATGCAGTCATTTTGACGTAGTGATTGTTCTTTTAGGTATACAGACATATTTTTCTGACATTGTGGTGGTCTATCTTCTGACTTAATAAGTTAATTAGGACAAATTGAACTTTTGCCTTGCTACATTGTTGTGTAATGATTAGGACAAAGGATGCATTTATAAATGTGACTCCTCTTTGCCGCTTTGTGACAATAAGATCAACTTAACAGTCAGATAGTGATGGTACATCATGCTCAACCCTTACAGGACCTCCCTGTTGAGCATGTGGCTGTTGGTGAGGGTTGTGAGTCCCGTGTGGACGTGGCCATTGACACAGCCCACAACAACGAGGGCTGGGTCATCATCGAGGACATTCACCTGGCCTCTCCACAGTTCCTGCACGAGCTGAAGCTGCACCTGGCCAGGGTCAGCCACACAGCCACAGGTCAGTCAGGCCGGCTGAGGAATTCTTGTTAATTTTCAGTTGATGGAAAATGACCAAACTGTTGCCACCATTAAGCATGAGAGTGTGTTTTGGATGGCTCTGGTATACTTGATTTTTAGAAATAGAATATTGGCAACCATATCACATTGTTATTAGCTGTTTGTCTCTTATCGTATATAAAGAACCAACATGATGGTTTGTCTCAGAGACAAAGAAATTGGGAAACAGTATGTGAATCTTATTCTAGCTTATGTCCTTGTCAAGTATGTAGAAAGTTTCCACAATGTCCATTACTATGAAACGTTTGATGCTGTTGTGGGATCCAGAATAGAATTTCTGATAACAAGTGACTTACTGTTTGTTAATGCTGCTTCCCTTCATCCCTTGCATTGACAGGTTTGAAGGACAGGTCAGCCCAGGAGGGAGGGAGGTCGTCATTCCAGGTGTGGCTGACGTCGGAGCCCAGCACAACCCTCCCCGAGGACCTGCTGAACGTTCTCCACAAGGTGGCCTGGGACGTCATCGGGCCGCACCTGCTGGGGGGACAAGAGGCACAGGGACCTGCTGCGCTGGCACATGGGTCACCCCAGGGCATGCTCAAGAAAGGTCAGTTGTGATACTGTTATATAGGGTGCAGTGAGTGTAAGGTACTGTGAATATTACACACATGCACTCTGCTGTTGCCTGCTACAAATGAACTGAAAGATGCTCAGATCTGTCTGCTTTATGTGGACTGTGATGGCTATGTCAACTTCCTGCTTGTGCTTTACTTGAAACATGTTGTAACACTATGCAGCATGCAGTCAAACCGGTACTTTTGACCACCTCTGCTCTACCATGGCACTTTGATAGTACTGTACATTCATCTTAGATTATTTTTCCGAGTGATCAAAAAATATACCAGTCTCATTTTGATTTGCATGTTTTTTTACCAACATGAAGTCCCTTTCTGACTTGCTTGTTGTTTGTTGCAGCCATCGGTGCTGCCCTGAGCAGCGTACCTCCCCAGTCCTGGGACAAGCTGAGAGACAAGTCCAACAACATCCGCAACATGGTGTTTGGTCTGTGTGTGGTGCAAGGCGTGCTGCTGGCCCGGCAGCTGTACGGGACGCGTGGCCTCAGTCTGCAGTACCCGCTCAGCGGCGTCCAACTGCAGCAGGGGATTGACATCCTGGTGGGCAAGTCTCTGAACGAGGGAGGGGAGGAACCAACGGTGGACGAGGCGTGTAAAGCTCTGGCTGAGGTGAGATGTCTGGGATTAAACCGTGGTCAGGGTATTCAAAATTGTTTTCAACCGATGTACAAAAGCATGGGAGACAGGAAACAAAAATGCCCATGGATATCATTCATCATTTCTTCTTTCATCAGAATTAGATATTATGTGATTAAGTACAATGTAGGAAAACATTCACTTTTTTTCAGTGCAACAGTTCAGAAATGTAGATGATGCTTTTAAAAGGTTTTTTTTTTCATGCAGTGTAGTATATATACATATAAGATGGCAGTTTCTTACATTCACCAAACTATAGTGTATTTGTCACCTATGATTGACACAACAGTCATCTCATAAATGTAAATGTAACAATGCTTTGAACATTTTCCCCACATTGTTGTCCACAGATGGTGTACGGGAACATCATGGGAACAGACTGGGACTGTCAGTACACCTCCACCATCCTGCACGAGATCCTGTACCTCATCACCAACCAATCTGGGCGCCTCATGCTGGGGAACGTGCCCATCCCCACCCCCGCCGCCAACGTGGACCCTTCCGAGTACCCCCACTGGTTCGAGTCCTGTTTCAAGTCTGACCACAGCGCGACGGAAGCCCTGCTGCTGGACGAGAGCGTGGACAGGGACTGGAATGAAGCCAGGTGAGCTGTCTCTAAAGGAGGTGTACTGCAAAGGATGCTGCAGTTTTGGAAAATAGACAATTGACTCCCTTAACCAAATGTTTAAAATAAGCTCAAATGATGTACATTCATGCTCCTTAAAACCTTAATAATATTGAAGCTGAACTTAAATCCTTGGTTGAAGTCAATGTTCTGCAGCATTCTACATGTAAATACAGCTTTCTAAATGTATCATTCTGTAAGTTGAATGTTGGCCCAACGAAATTATTATCATTTTTCTTTTTTCTGTAGCTCCTCCGTGTACGTAGCCCACCTTGACCAGCTGCTGACCCACACCCAGTGCGGCCCGTACCCCAGCAAGTCCATCGTGTCCAAAGAGGTTTCCCTGGACGTCCAGCGGCTGAGGTTTGCCATTGACCTGTGTGTGGACAGCCTGCCTCCCCTGCTGGAGCTGGGCAGGCTCCCGTCCCAGGTGGACTCCAGCTCCTTCTCCTTCCAGTACCACCGGCCCTCCATGGTCAGCGTGGCCACCGTGCCGCCCGAGGAGATGCCAGAATCTCTGGGCTTCATCCTGCTACAGGTACTGTCAATGGGCATTCATCTTCAACATTCAATACCTGGAGTAGTGAAATTTTCCATTTTGTACATTTCCCTTCCTCTGACATGAAGCTAGGTACAGAATGTTTCCACACCATTTTTTCGACCTTTGTTGTTTCATGTATTGATCCAGCACTATGCCAATACAAAAAGCTCTGCCCTCTGCCCACAGTGCACATATATACCAGTATTCATGCCAACATTGATGTCTTTTTCCACATACATGTACTAGTTGTGCTCTTGCCCCAGAACTGGCAGTAGTTTTGTAGAGGAATGGTTTACTCACACTGTGTGATACTTCCTTTCCGCACCTCTCGTCCAATCCTCACAGGAGTGCCACTGGTTGAACCTGCTGCTGTGCCACGTGCGCCAGTCGCTGCACAACCTGGACCAGTGCATGCTGGGAGGCACCAACGCTATCCCAGCATCCCTGACCCAGCTGGCGGAGGCCCTGCAGTCGGAGGAGGTTCCCGTGTCGTGGACACACCCCCGCTGCCGCCCCTCCTCTCACACCATCCTGTCCTGGCTAGAAGGTGAACCAGCTGTCAACATTCTGCAGAATGTTGTATGATAGTTATATAGATGCAGATGCTACAAACACACTGTAGTTGCAAACTTTTCCAGGTAGACCAGCATGTTATAGTTCTCTTCATCCCTGAAACCTTGTATACTATATAAGAGATCAAATGTTTATTCTGCATTGTTATAGCTTTCTGGCTTTTTATAAAAAAGGATTTTAGAAGAATTTTTCTTCTTCTAGACCTGACGGCAGCTAGTCCTTAGTGGATAGAGTTTCAGCACCATGGACAGACCCTGTACTGTTAAGAATATCAGCAGCAAGTTTCCTTGCTGCTACTGGCAAGGTATTTTAGGTACACAGGAGAGATTGTCAGCCCTTTGGGAGAGTGTTACTTATCATTGACACTATATTCCTGTCTTCTCCCAGACCTCCAGGAGAGGTACAAGCAGTTGCATGACTGGGTGAAGCGTGGGATAGTGTCCCGGGAGCCGGACAGACCCACGTCCCAGCCGCAGCTGTCCCACGGCCAGCTGACCTCGGTCTGGCTGGGCGGGCTGGTCAACCCCGCGGCTCTCTTCACGGCCCTGCGGCAGGAGAAGGCAGTACAGCTGGAGGTCCCCGTCAGCAAGGTCAGTCTGAAACTTGAACAACATGAACTGGAGTGCTCTTTATTGCCAAAGCATTGTATCAACTGCTATTTGTACCTTGTTTCAGCTTTCTGGCATGTTCCAGAAAAGGTATTGAGAAGAATTTTTCTTCTTCTTGACTTGACCTCAGGAGATAGAGTTTCAGCACCATAGACAGTCCACGTACCTTTAAAAATTTCCTCCTCCGTTTCCATCAAATTTTGGCCTTTGTACTCCTAGAAAATTTGGCAATGCAGCACCCTTGGAATGTGAATGGTCAATCCAGTCACTCTCAACTTTTTGTGTCCCTGAAACTATAATTATAATATTGTTCCTCTGCATGCACCAATGTGTGGTGCTCTGAAGTGTTATGTGTAAGTGTACATTGCCTTTGTCTCCCCAGATCACCCTGAGCTGTGAGGTTGTGAGGGATGATGCAGCAGTGGAGGAGGAGGAGGGAGGTCTGTACATCCAGGGTCTGTACATCCAGGGGGCAGCCTGGGACTGGCAGGCAGGCTGTCTCACAGAGGCAGAGTGAGTACACGACAATGCTATTGGCTACACCTTGCCAACAAATACATCATCTTGATACCTGTATTCAGACGCAAGTCTTGAATTGCTTTTGATTATGATATTTCAAGAAACATAAATGGCCAGAAGAGCTTTGGACCTCAAGCAGTATACACAGATCCTGTATTTGGAGAGATACTGTTATGTTAAACTTTTGTCAAATAATAAACTTTGTGCTTGTTTTATACAGAAAATCAATGTATTGACAATCCTAAGAGCTACACAGTCACCATGGTAGGATTTCCTCTATCCCTCACATTGTAAAGATGGAACGCACCTATAATTTATCTGTACCATTTTCCCCCCATCTAGAATGGGCCTGACGCCCCTGCCTGTTGTGTATGTGAAGCCTGTGTTGACATCTGAGATGTCAGGGCCGGGAGGGGACGGTGGGGAGGACATCACCCTCTATAACTGTCCTGTCTTCATGAACAAGGTGGGTACTTTTACATGTACTGTTTTGCATTATAATGCAGTTAATGCGGTGCCTAGACTGCCATACCAACATTGTATAAATATATGTTTTGCATTGTTGATCATAAAATAGTGAAGTGAAAATGAAGTCTTTGTTTTGTCATTTTTTGTCAATTTGCTCCATTTCTGGCATGTGTTATACACTGATGCCTTTCTCTTACACTTCAGATTTTAATTAGAATACAACCAGATCGGCATTGCTTAATCCCATAGATTTCAGCACCATGGAGATTTCTAGTAACCTAGCTATAATATAAAGAATGCCTAAAACCGTTCTGATTAAGATGACGATGTGTCCCATCTGTTGCGCAGGCCCGTCAGGTGTGCAGTCTGACCCTGCCGCTGAGGTGCCCCTCCCCAACAGAAAACTTTGTCATGTCAGGAGCTGCTGTCATACTGGATGCTGGTGAGTCTACTCCTTACAAAGTCCTCCTACTGACGTTTCATTGAATATGTTTCTAACAATAGAGAGGAATGTTCAAAAGACCTACAGACTGATGTAGATCAGTTGTTTTGTATATCAGTCTTGTAGTTCAAGAGCAATAGAGAATTGAAAACCAGTCCTGACAATTAACCTTGAAGCAAAATCTCTGGTGGTAGTAAAAGTCACACTTCTTATGAACACTAACATTTTGTTCCTCTTAGGTTGCCTGTTGGATGACCACAAGAAGGGCCGTACGTTTGCCAGCTTAAAGAAAGACCCCATCCCGATGTCAGCCAGGGACATGGTCCCCAGCATCCCTGCCTACTCCGCTCCGACCAGTGCCATCCCCAAGCGCAGGGTGTCCCACGACCCACACGTCGTGCCCATGGCCCGTAAGACGACAGGCGCCGAGCAGCAGGCTGTGGAGTCAGGCATACAGATGGGGAGACAGTCCCAGCAGTCCCAGCACTCTCAACGCTCCTACGTGTCGGCCACGTCGAAGCTGTCCGAGAGCGCCAAGCAGCCGATATCGAAGGACAACGTAGACGCCGGTAGCGGCCACCGCTCCCCGACCATCGCTGCAGCCTCGGAGTCCACGGAACAGAACCAGCTGGCCCAGGACAGCGGCGTGGTGAGGGACGACCAGGCGGGGGAGGTGCCGCCCAGCACGGCGGAGGAGTACTACTCCTCGTCGGACGAGAAGCCAGGACCGGGACAGCAGGGCTTCGACCAGGGGTACAGCGCTGACGACAGCCAGTCCGAGTCCAGGAAGGAGAGCGACGCGACAGAAGCTGGGCCGGGGAGGGCGAGGGGTCTCACGAGCGACGACGACACACTCGGGTACACCACCGACCCGGGTCTGGACTCCAGGGGACGGACCCGCCACAATCCCAGCCGAGTTACTGATCAGATCATTCTGCAGTCAACATTGTGTAGATTTAGGTGTCTCATCACAGTATTTGTGTGTAAAAGAAAAATTCATAGATGCCTAGCCTGGGTAGATTGTATTACTCTGGATTCCTTTTTTACTGTGCAGTTTTGGGTGTAAGTTCATTGTATTGGGTGTCCAGACATGTCCCATTGCTCTTATGTCACCCATATATATTGAGAAGTATGTTTCTTTAGCAGTCAGAAAGGCTATGTCTACAACATGGTGTTTTGCATTGGTGAAAAAGACATACCTGTCATACCTTTGATATAAAGATGATTAAAAGTTGAGCTTTATTTTCTCCGTCATGCTGCTATATTACACACCGTCCAGGGTACAACATGTTGATATTCTTTCTTAATCAATATTTGGATTCTAGATACCAGGGTATAGTAAGGTGACACTTTTGCTATCTCTATTGTTGCAGATCTTTACACGTTTTAGTGATGTATATAATTATGTTAGCATTGTTTTCTTTAGTGCAGCTTTTGGTCGGTTTACAATTATAACAACATTTGATATACAAAATGTACATGCAACTACATTAACCAAGTTGTTAGTTGAAATTTCAGGCCTCTCCGTTTTTCAAAGATTATCTGATATCTGTGGGTTTGTACATATTCCCTATTCTTGATTCTTGTACAAAATACAGTACATATGATATATATGTTGTGTAATACTATGTTTATGTATTGCTGCTATTTTTATATGTGGTCTGATGGTTTTCCCGTCCAGTTTGAGGTAAAGAGAAATGAGATTTGTTTTGAAATAAACTTTCTATCAGTGACATTTTCCAACTTGAGCTCTTTGCGTCAATGATTTTAAAGCATATACTGTAATAAAATCCTGTCAGAAACCCTTTAAATAATATTGACTCAGGAGCCAGCCAACAAGAAACCGTGTGCAATCTAGAACTGATATACAATAAGAAAACAGCATATAATCGGTAAAAAAAAGACCGCTAAGGAGGCTAGTAATTTGCTAGGTTTGCGGGTCATTGGTTTTGTTGAATGTCCAATGAGAGATTTCTGATGGGTTGGCCTGCGGCGTCCATGACGCAAAACTGGTCTAACAACCTTCCCATGCCGGTGTTTGGTACACGCTTATTTACGAAACTCAAACGCGAGTGTCTTGGGACTCGTGTTCATGTACCTACACTGTAAGCAATGTTTTCGGAGTGGAGTCCAGTTGCCTACCAGCAATTTTCGAAGTTCTCGTGGCTCATAGGATCGCTTCTGCTGACGTGAAATACCTAGGAGACATGAATTAACCAAGGAGCTTCTTGAATTAACCGACATAAGGTTTGTAAACATTGCCACTGCTTCTAACACTAGTACTGGTACAGGCGACCGAAGGTTCAGAGTTGCTGACTGTAGGTATTAGAATTTTGGTCTCTTTCACACAACAACGTGAGTTATTTTCTATCAAGAACTGAACAATGTTGGACGTTTCTTTATAAGCTGGGTTTTGTTAATTCTGGCACAGGAAAACTGCCAAGCCGGTTACCATTCATGTCGACATGTTAGACAACTTTTAAGTCAGGTAAGGCGATTTGTGACCCAACATTCTGGTAGCGGTGAGCTGAACAATGAGATATCATTGACTAAATTTTTATTATATATAGTCTCGACACAACCATGCATGTCCTGGGCAGTCACTCTTTCAATGACTCAAACAGCCCCAAATGTTTATATAGGTAGGAGTTCACTGATACACTTGTGTCGACTTGCACCCTACAGAATCAACCTTTTGTGTATAGTCGGGAGGATGAAAGTCGCCGTGAGCCGCCGGCCGCTGATCTGCTGTATGCTCCTGCTCGTCGTCGTGTATTTCACGGGCCTGAACTGCATCTACAACCAGACAGGACTCTTGAGATATGGCGAATCTGACGACTGCTCTTTATTCACGAAGGGAGATTGTGTACAGTGTGACTGCGACGAGCCACAGGCTAGCGATTTAGAATCACCTACAAGGACCACACAACGAAGTGGTGGTCCTAAAGGCGTAATTGTCCATGATTCTGCAGCTGAGAATGAGAGGCAATGGCAACCGTGTCAAACAGAAGAGAAGGGCGAGGGGAAAATCCACTGGCGAGACGAGAAACCCGTCCTTGTGTACGAGCAGGACGGAAAAACAAAGAACAGAACGTGGTCGACATCGCTGGCGATGGTGACAGAGTCGTACAACCTGATGGGTGTGAAGCAGGCGTTCCGACGTCCCTGGTCACAAAATAAGGAAAATCTGCATAGATTCAGGTGACTCGTCTTCTTTCGTTGCACCGATATGACAGGGTACATTCGATAGTATCACAATGAGTCCAAATATGCTAAAAGTAAAGGCAGTACAGAGACAAGCAAGACAAAACTTTAATTCTGTCACTGGAATGTGGACTTTCAATTTATGATATTGTGTATATGCTGTTTGTTATAAAATTGTTTTGCTGTATTCCTTTTTCAGGAGACATATAACAAATTGTTGTGACGCACAAAAGGGGATGATTCTAACCAAGGAGAACGGAGTCATGGAGTACGACTACGACTTCCCCAAGTTCATTGATAACGAGCTGAAGTTGAGGCTCAGTGAGCAGTTCTACGACACGTTTCCACAGGTCTGTACGAAGCTATGAAGTCAAGGATGCCAGTACATGTACATGAATGTGTAAATGGATAAAAGTAATAGTTTTTGGGAACGTGTTACGCGCTGTAAACTGCGTTGGAACACTTTCTACTACTTCGGTAGAACTGGAGTGTCCAGGGCCGAGCATCTCAGTTGTAGAACATGTTAAAAAGTCTACGCTTACAAACTAAATTCTAGTTTTGTGCTTTTCATATCATAAGAGAGGAACAACTGAACAGACATAGATACCCGCATTAGCATTTATGAGACGTACATGTTGCAACCATCGGTGGCTTAAGTTAAGACTTGATTAAATTGTTAAAATTTGGTCTTGATTAAATATATATAACGTATAAAATGAAACAGGTCAATAAAGAAAGTTATTTTCTTTTAGAAAAGTCCGATTCCCGAGAAAAGATACGGCCGTTGCGCCGTGGTGGGCAATGGTGGGATCCTGGAGGGAAGCAGATGTGGGAAGGAGATTGACAGCTACGATTTTGTCTTCAGGTGATTCAAAATTAGCTTACAGACTCACGAGAAAGGGACTGTTATTTCAGCAAGCAAGCAAACTAGTAACGTTACTAAGGTTAAATTGGTGGTGATAAATAGTCGATCTCATTTACTGTTGGATGCTGAAACACGGGGAAACAGTGTCATCGTGTGTACTTTCCTTTTAGAATGAACCTACCTCCGCTCGGTAAAAAGCCGACCTATGACAGAAATGTTGGAGTCAAAGTGAACCTGACCAGCACCACTACCGCTATGATTCGCAAGTAAGTACTACTATACATGCTTGTCGGATTAAGAAATGGGTGAAACAGAAAATGAATGGTCCTATATAACACGACGCTGGTATTGATTTTAATGTGTGCATATTACATTGTACTTCATAAAAGACACCGCTCTAAAGATTGACAACCTACTGGTAACTTTAGTGAGGCACACCGGCGTGAAAAGTGTTACTAGCAGCACACAATAGTAGGCTGCAGTGGTCGCGCGCTAGACATAAGATTTATGAGTTCACGAAATCTACAAAAATCCATCTGTCTTAGATACAAGACGGTCCTGCAGGAACCAGAGATGCTGGACAAATTCCTGAATGAAACTTCCATGTTCAGAGGGCTTCTGGTCATCAAACGACCGTTCGGTGAGCGCTGCTACTTCTTACATCATCACTGACTTTTACTGTTCGACAAGTTATTCTGATACTAAACTAACGGTACATGACATTTTTATGGCTATCCCTTGAAGTTTCACGTAGTTTTATGAGAAGACACAGGATGTTGCAAGAGGACGATTTGATACGTTTGTTCACCTTATTAACGTTAACAGGTGTCGGTGTTTTAAACAGGTTCATGTGATTTCTTACCCTTTCTTTGTAGATTACGTGGTTGCCCTTCAAAAGAAATTAGAGAAAAATTCGACACAGTTGAAGATTGTTTATCAGAACCCGGTTCACTACCTGGATGTCAGCTGGTTCTGGAGTAAACAAGGCCTTCCGGGCGTCATAAGTACAGGTAATTATAAAACAACATGTTTTCATTGCTTTGATGGTGAAACAGTCCTGTCATTTTATGTTGTCTCATGTTATGTCCGTTGTCTTCATTTTACAAACGGTTTTATCCTACTATGGTTTCTTTTTCTTTATTTACCATGGTGTTCCCTCCTGTGGTTGATTTCTGCCGACCAATCAAATCTTATTTGTTTTGGGGTCTTACACTATCAACTTGTTTTCATCAGTAAGTAAATTCTCTGTACTTGTTGTTCAAAACGGGGCAGGGCGCCCACGATATCTTCCGACCTCTAATCTTTAAATCAGGTTTTAAATGGTTGAATCGTCCTTTCCTATGCCTATTAAGTATAGCCTTTTTTCCATTTCAAGGACTGTATCAGGTGACTAACGCCATCATGCTGTGTGACGAGGTGACCTTGTATGGCTTCTGGCCTTTTCCTATTGACGAGAGAGGAGCAAAGGTTTGTCTTGTCTTTGAGTTAAGCATTTTTTGGACGAAAATCGATTTTCAGTCATGAAACCTTTTTTTATTGTTTACTACTGCAAGCTGTTGTTATCTGTGTCATATAGTTTGAAATTCGAAAAATGTATGCACAAAAGTTTGTTTATATCATAAGAAATGGCAAAATACATGGATGCTTAGACCAGTGCCTTCATCATTTCCCCATCCATCCAAGGTTGGCTTCCACTACCACGCGGCGCCCATCTTCATCGGCCCTGCTGCCGGGACGGAGTCTGCGTACGACATGGGCCGGGAGTTCATGATGCTCAGGAAACTGCACACCATGGGGGTGGTCAGGGTCGTCTTGGACAGATGCGAGGAATGATACAGTACCTCCGGGCCGAACCTGTCACACATTCACGAAATGAAACATTCGTGAGGCGTTCGAGAGGTTCGATCATAGTTGGCTGGTTTTCGACCGTAAGTCAGCTATACACCTGCCAACCACCCTGGAGTAAGTCAGCAGTGTTCGGGGCGTGTTCAGGGATCAAATTTGGCTCCAATTTTACTCAATTTCATTTTGATTCATACACGAAAGGTAGGCGTGGCCTAAATCTGGCCAGAGTGCTCCCGAACACCAGCCGAGCCGTTTGTCGGAAGTTCGTGAATGTGTGACAGGGGCTTTATCATGGCGCATTGAGCTCACTGGAAACGACCAATGAAGACCTAGGAACAGTGGACCAAACAGAAGACCCCACGAGTAACATTTTGGTATGGACTCAGCTGTTTGCTGTACGCATTTATACATGTATGTCCGCGTCTGCCTGGACTCCTTGCGATGTTTGACTGAACTTGTGTTTTCTAAAGTGGTAATATTTAAAAACTGTACATATTGTGTCTGACCGGCGCACTTATTGTCAGTATACCATCCAATTTGATAATGTAACTCATCGTATTACAGCTTAGTAACATTTCTCTTGTTTTGTTTTGTTTTGTTTTGTTTTGTTTTGTTTTGTTTTGTTTTGTTTTGTTTTGTTTTGTTTTGTTTTGTTTTGTTTTGTTTTGTTTTGTTTTGTTTTGTTTTGTTTTGTTTTGTTTTGTTTTGTTTTGTTTTGTTTTGTTTTGTTTTGTTTTGTTTTGTTTTGTTTTGTTTTGTTTTGCTTGCTTTTGTGGGTAGTTTTTACGTATCTAAACCTATCACACATTAACAATTTGACATTTCGTTAATATCAAGCCGACATAGCCCATGCAGAACAAGAGACATCAAAATTGGTAGTTCCACTTCAGTACCATGGACAGCTGCTAGGAGGTCCGTAACGAACTTGACGGTCCTTCACTTTTGCTGACACCTATCCACATACCAAGGAGGCTAAAAATCAAAATTTGATTTTAAACCTGCTTGCACTTACGGATTCATTCACAACATTTAAAGTTATGATGTCCAGCAACATAAAAAAAGGAAAACTAGCCTCTATCAGGTTTCAGATGCGATTGGAAAGAGTAGGAATTGGCCGAAAAGACAGATAACATACGGTCATACCAGGGGAGTTAGTCTACTACAGGCTACCCGGGAGGAAGCGAACAAACACAAACGGCACCGAAAACATTACTTTTTGACAAAGACAAATACACTTTCAGGTGTTCAATGTCCACCAATACATTATCATAGATATGCCCACCCAAATAACCCAAATTGTAACAATTAAAAGGTAGTATATTAGGCAGGATAATAGAATATCCGCCATTCGGTGCAAGGTGCAGTGACCTTTACCTCACTCAGCTGAGTCACATGCACGGTCGTAAATATTACACATTTACATAGCGACACGGGGCGCCCAGGGGGGCACCGATTTGGAGTCGGAGAGAAACAGTACAAGTAGTCCCAGTAGAGAGAGCGCCACAAGAAATCAAGGACTGGACTAAAAAAGCACGAAGTCAAAACAGCCGTGCAGCGACAGGCAGGTTCAGAATGGTGCTAGACACCCTAAGGCATACAGGTCTTGCTATCTGGCAAGCCATTGCTATCGCCACTGCTGTGCTGGTTTCAGTCGGTAAGCTGTTATAGGGTGGCCTCTCGTTACCTCCATGACCTGTCACATATGTTATGTTTACCTTCGCCAAGAAGGTTATGGTATCAGGGGCGTTCGTGTGTGTGTGTGTGTGTGTGTGTGTGTGTGTGTGTGTGTGTGTGTGTGTGTGTGTGTGTGTGTGTGTGTGTGTGTGTGTGTGTGTGTGTGTGTTTGTAAACACGACAACTCCAATCTTCAGATAAAATCTTCAAGAGAGGATAACTAAAAAAACCGGTTGACGGATCGTCATTATTTTGGCATCCTCCCGATGCACTGTTTATGGTAGTGCGGACCAAACAAAAAATAGTAGCCCCTAAAAAGGGGCGCACAAAACGATAGATAAACTGCTCTACCTGGTGAGACAACTATGTCATCCCAGCCAGGTAAGCACAAGGACCCACCAACCCACCGATACACCGAAACATTGCATGGATCGATGCATCCATGGGTGGGTGAACAGACATTGCCGATGCAGGGTCGGCGGCGCGGTGTTCTATAATCGGTCGTAAGGTATATAGAATACCGCGCCGCCGACCCTGCCTCGGAAGGATGTATTTTGGCAGTGGTAGCTGAAGTGATGCTTGGCATAACTAAATTACAATTTTGCAAATCAGGATCTAATTTGCATAATTAATGAGAAAATTCTATAAATCTGTAGTGTTCCATATTAGAGCTATGAAACACTTGTGACATATGTAATCAAGAACGTCAGGAACAATGACAGGTATTGATTATGTAAATGAAGACCTAATTTGCATAATTAATGTGAAATTGCTAAAATTTCATAGTGGTAACTGCTGGGAATTTAATACTTGCCATAATTGGAAGTTAAGTGAAGGTGAACATCACTAAACATAATTTATTCAAATCAGGACCTTATTTGCATAAGTTATGAGGAAAAGCTAGAATAGCCTTGTTTCTTAAGATAATCCTGTCACTGGGTGAAGAATATGATCAACTGAAATAATACATTCACATGGGGCTCTCATAATTTCCATAATCGCAGTGACAAAAAGGACGGTCAGTCTGGACGCTTACACGCGTGTGTGTACACGCGCTATTTTGTTGTCAGCATTCAATGCGATTAAAAGACGAGGTCCAGCATAAAAAAATACAATTTTCTACTACAGTCATCTACTTGATTCACCTGTGGATCAGCAAAGGCCTTCAGTTCCCGAAGGCTGGAGTGTGCCGATGTGATGTGCGCATGGACGGGAAGACTGTTATCGTGACAGGCTCCAACACCGGCACAGGGAAGGAGGCGGCGCGGGACCTCGCGCAGAGAGGTGAGTTGTCACCTGTTTTGAGTTAAAACTTTTCATCCAACACAGTAGACTGACCCAGTGAGGCTTGTCACGTGACTTCTTTGAATTGGGATGTCAACACTAGGTCAAAGGTATCTTGTAGACGATGACGGCCCCCGTCGCGGTTGAGTGAAATGTGAAGGGCCCTGATGTAAATAGCCTCTTTCACCTCTCTCAGGAAATAGTCATCTGAGTTGTCACATGTTGAAACTCGGTTCCTCATACGACATCTTTATCAATAGTACGAGCGGTTATTCGTCGTGACATGGCGCTGCCGTTTGAGAACCGACAACTGTTTCGAGTTTTGGCATAGAGACAGAGGTTAACCACGATGACTACCGCAAAATGCCATTCTTCTTTCGAGGGTCACTCAGACACTCCTCTTTTGTCTGTCCTCCAGGCGCTCGCGTGATCCTGGCTTGTCGAAACGCGAGGAAAGCCGAGAAAGCCGCTGAAGAGATCCGTAAGTCCAGCGGAAATGGAAATGTGGAGGTGGGAGTTTTGGACCTGGCGTCTCTGTCGTCTGTGCGAGACTTCTGCACCCACATCATACAGACAGAACCCAGGCTAGATGTGCTCGTCAACAATGCAGGTGAGAAACCGTATAATGATGAGGCCTGAATGAAATGTTTTGCCAACCAAACAAGGTAGATTATCAAGAAAAACACATTTTGTTTCCAATGCAAAAATAATACAAATGCATTCTGCATGTCAGGATTTTCTCCGGTATTGAGAATGCGAAGCGACATCTCCTTCTGTCCGAGAACGGATCCGGAGACCGCAGACGGGTTTGAGCTGATGTTCGCTGTGAACCACCTGGGGCACTTCCTCCTCACCAACCTGCTCCTGGACCTGCTGAAGAAGTCTGCTCCCAGCAGGGTCGTCACGGTGTCTTCGGGTGCTCATGTCCGTGAACCGGAGATAGACTTCAACGACATCAATTTTCATCACAACTTCTCCCCCATCCGGGCCTACAGGAGAAGTAAACTGGCCAGCATGCTGTTTGTGAGGGAACTGGCGAGGAGATTGGCAGGTCGGTAGTGAGTCGGACCTGAAGTTAAGTAATGATGATAACCCGATCATGATACTTGAAACAGTGCTACCAGGTCATTTTAAAAGTTGTAGTGAGTTTGTGCCTTGCTTTAAATTTTTAAGTCATCATCTTGGCCAACAATCCATGAATATATGCTGCTACGAAAGGCGACAAGTGAACACTACCACAATAAATACTAATGCTGTTACTCTCCAAGCAGAGGTTTAGGCTTCGGTGTTTTTATTGGGCTTTCTTTGTAGTACGTGCCTTTGAAGATCATATTGATTTTATTCGTGTGCATGCCATTGGAAATAAAAATCTGCATCTGAATCCACAGGGTCCGGCGTCACAGCAGTCTCCCTGACACCCGGCTACGTGGCGACCTCCCGGCTGAACAGCCAGACCCTGTCCGCCAGGGCGCTGCTGTGGGGTGCTGTGGGGGTGATGCACCGGTGGCTGTACGGGAAGACTCTCCTGCAAGGCGCGCAGACCACCATCCACTGCAGCGTGGCAGACGGGCTACGGTCTGGGCAGTACTTCAGGTGAGACGGACAAGGACCAATACGGTCATTAGGACGTTATTAGGGGCCAAGTAAAAGATAAAGACATGAAAGAAGCCTCTTTCGGAGGTGTGTATGTCTTGCCTTGCTTTTGCGCATGCCTTGCCTTGTTTTTGTATGCCTTGTCGTATGCCTTCACATCGCGTCATATTCCAATTAAAACCGAGGTTCACTCAAATCCAACTTTCAACGTCACTCAACGATCACCGCCTAGTGGGAAGGAAGCCTTAGAAGCTTGCTGCCATAGCCTCGAGATTTACGGCATAAAGTTCAAACTATCTACACCCTGCACTGTATCGTAATACTAGCATGTAGTCACTATCACTCCATTGGTCTCGTGCTATTCCTACAGTGAATGTAAGCCGAAGGACCCCGCCCCCCAGGCCATGGATGACGAGGCGGCAAGAAAGCTGTGGGAACTCAGTGAGAAGATGGTGGCACTGAGCAAATAGCTGATTTCATAGCAAAGTCTTTGGTCGATCCAAGGACGTTATATCTTGTTGAAGCTCCTTGGTCGGTCTGTACCTTTCTTTCTTTCTTTCTGCGTTTATTAAAGTTCGCCACTACTAGTAACTCACCTGGTTGTCCATTATGTCAGCAAAACAAAACCTCTCAGCATCCACTTATAAAATAAACCTGATGTGTGTTTAATCTCTTCTTAAAAAAGAAAAATGTTTAAACCATTGTTTATTCATGAGAAAGTCTTCTGGCCGCTTTTCATTTAAGTCATGGTCAATTCTATACTCTAATCGTTGAAAATCCTCAGCAACTAGAAATGTTACTAAGCATTTTAAATCAACCGCTACTTCAAAGGCAGTACAACCAACAGAAAATAAACCCTTCATCATATATCTTCATCTTCATCTTTGCCGGGGCTCTAGGATGTTGTACAAGCCCCGGCTACACCCCCATATAGCCCCTGTTGGGGCACTTTAGGGGAATATATAATCAAAGTAAGGGCATATATCAAAATACATGTATAACACCATGTTACCATGTTTTGGTGACACCTCAGTGGCGGGGTCGATTGTACTTTATTGAACTTGTGCGCGCTTCAGATCAATGGTATGGTGCTTTCGATGAAACGGATTAATTCAGAATGTAGCTTGAAGATGTAGTGTGAGTTGACTTTATCTGCTAGCACACACTACACATATGAAAAGAAACTGAAGGTTTTTTTAGGTATGGACAACAAACTACAAGTACAACTCTATGTAGTTAGATGATGGGCCATCACAAGCCGCCTTCCTCTATCGCTGTGGCAGCTGATTGGACAGTGTACGTGGTGATAGCCAGCTGTTTCTTCACCTCCTCCCAACGAGCGGTCTGATTGACTGCGTTCTCGATGTCGAACATGGCGTCAGCCAATCCCGGGAAGGCTTGGCCAGCGTACGAGTTGTGAGCGCTGGGCGCGTAAACGACGTGCCTGGAAACGAAAACAATTTTGTTCTAATGTTACTTTCCATGTCTTGCAGTGCACGTCAACTCAAATTAAACATCAGCATTTCCTATTCTGTAGAGGCGACAGCAACTATAAATGTCTTTCCTTTCTAGTTTTTCTACAAACGACGCCATCTTACCTGTACCATTCCCTTCCCGGCAGGCCTAGCGGATCGATGAAGCCTCGTTCCAACTGCATCAGCTGATCGTTTACAACACGGACAGCCAACGGGCTGTACAGAACAAATAAATAGTGTTGTCAAGTTTGATAGACGACTAGCGTTTTAGCTATTCACCCAATATTGGGTTTGTATTTGTATTTTCAGCTATTCATCCAATTTGGGGTTGTAAAAACTAGGTTTGTGTTATAATTATCAAAGGTACGTAGAGTTAGCGTTAGTTGCCGGATTAAGAATGTACGTTTCGTACTTCTTCCTGTCAATGTCCGCCATCCTGCGTTTCAAGCGTTGGGCTGCGCTTGTGAAGTTGTCCACAGCGGAGTTCAGATGGTCTGGGGTAAGATAGCATTGGAACAGGTATGCAAGGTGAGTATGGTGACCAGCATTTACTTCGTAAAACTTACAAGTTAAAGGCAGCCACAACAATTCAGTTGGCGTAATGCGCTCGGCTCAGAACCAAGAGGTACCGGGTTTCACCGATCTTGTGCCATTGGGAAAGGCACACACGACTTTCCTCACTTAATTCAGGTGAAAATGAGTCATATTGTCCTCTGCGTTGGTGGCGGCTTAAAGATAAGTTGAAAGCTTGAGAGTGCCGTCACCATGTCTTGTCTTAAAAAAAAAAACAATGAAGTTACCCAGTGAGATGCCCTGTTCAGCGAACTGCGTGCTGTATTCCGTCCTGACGGACGCTGCGATGTCCTGTAGGGCTGTGGAGTACGCGGTGGGGTCTATCGGGAGGACCAGCGAGTCGGCCAGGTCCAGCGCCATCTCCGCTAACACCCGACCAACGGCCTGGTGAACCTTGAACTCAGGGTCGATGAACTTCTTCACGAGGTCAAAGGTCTCGTATGAGGAGTGGTACAGGGCGTAGTAGCTAATGACGGCCTGGAGAAATAAGTACATAAGTAGAACATTAAGAACAGTAATCCCCATGTCAAGCCTGCCTAAGACATTCTGTCCGAACGCCTTTTAAAATTCTATTGTGCAAATTCCGCTACAAAAAGTTGATGTTATCTCTTTAATCATTAAAAGACGTTCTCATAACGTTATAACGTTATCTGCACCTGTGAATATTACGCTTATCTACGTATAAGTTCAATGAAGTTGTCGTTTTAGTTGTCGTTTTTGTTTTCAAGATTCGCACGAAACAAGTTATGTAGACTCATTCTTAGACCTGAATTATGAGACTTATCCATAGACGCAGTACAGGACGTTACCGGATCGCAAATAAAGCGGATGTCTATAGACGAGATGCCGAGATGCTGGAAGAACGGCGTGTAGTCACTCCCGGACCCCAGCTGGCCGATTCTGTAGGATAGAGTGGACGTACATGAGTACGAGTAGTGATTGATCCGGAAACTCGACCAGCCTCGTAACCCCTGCTTCTCCTATTGGGTCAGTTAGTCCTCACTACTTGTGAGGATGTTTCTGACTCAGGGAGAAGAGTTGCTGTTACAGTTACAGGCTAGCTCTATGCCTAGAAGTGGCCAATGACCTTACCTTGAGCGACACCGTTAAAAATTAGTCATTGACCTGTCTAGTCTGAATATCTTACTATTATAAGAAGAAGAAGTAAGTTGGTGAAAAAGATCTTGACTCTTTCATCCTCCTATTCTTTTAATAGTTGTTGATCCCCTTAAATATACTGAAATTACTGGCCTACAAATAGGGCACAAATAGTAATTCTATGTAAACTGTATTCAATTCTGTTTCTGACAACATTTGACTAGACGTTTACGTTGGTACTGAGTTAGGATTCCCCGCGTCTTTGGGGAGCTTTGCCGCCCACGAGTCGTACACGGAGTTGTAGCTGCTGCCTGCGGGGTTGACGGCCGGGTCCGGCACCTAGCAGCAGCGGGAGACAGCGTTACGATACCACAGGTACTCAGTTGAAATGTGCTGTTTAGGACCACGCTGTATTGCGTAAAGCTAAGTCAACGCCACGCCACGCCTCTTTATGCCACTGATATTTGGCGACCGATGCCGATTCTCATTTCTTACTTTTGAACACATTACTGTTCTGTGGTGCAAAACAAGAAAGCTTTTTTTATTACAATCTCAATGTGTCTGAAAGTATGTCTACGTGTAAGTAACTGTGTGTTGGTTTCGGCATCATTTGTGCTATAGAAAACTGCCTTATGCGTGTAGGACACTTAAAAGTTACCTTTTTCGTGGCGTCGAACACAGACTGAAACATGGCGGGACTCGCAATGCTCCTGAACGTAAAGTTACCTGTAAAAACAATGAAAACAGGAATATAAGGTAGAGCATCAACAGTGTCGGTGTCGACAGTACAAGTGGGCTTTAATAGTGTGTAAATTGAACTTTCAGCCGTTGAGATGTCAGTCACTTACCGAGGGCGGCTATGTCTATGTTGAGATAAGCCACAGCCCGTTCACTCAGTACTTTGCTGTACTCCTCAACCCACTCGGTAGAGCCGATCAAGCCATACTCCTCAGCGCCCCAGCTGGCAAATACAAGGCTCCTGCGTGGGCGCCAACCTTCACAACACGAAGGGGTTTTAGATGTTGAAGCAGATCAACAAACAAATAAATAAGCAGCCAATCAAGCTCATGAAACAGAGGAGTGTGCTCAAGAAGCGGCTATCTACCTTCTTGCTTCAGTTTTCCAAAGGCCCTAGCGACCTCTTCTTGTACTGCACTTCCACTGGAAGGATCCACGGATCCGAACACCCAGGCGTCCCTGTGGTTTCCCATGATCACGTACCGATCTACGGGAAAGGAAAATATTGACTTTGGTAAGAGGTCCTGGTCTAACAATTTTACTAGGCACTAGTAGCTGTTCTCTATCGGGCCAAAATTGTCAAACCAAATTTGTAACTCTGTAATGTGAGACAGATATCATTGTTGGTCATCATAGAATACATTTCTTACACAGAGGATGAATGTGGTGCAAACTGACAAGATATGATAAAATAGTATCACGATATCAACATAGAACACCATGCCAATGGGAAAGTTTACCTGGTTCCACGCTGCCCTCGATGATGCCGATGACGTTGTATGTCCTCTTGACCTCGTTTTGTACGTTGACCTGAAGCCGCACTCTCCTGTCATTGTAACCAGAATTTCAGATGTTTCCTTTTGATCTTATCCACGACTCTGATGCTTCACACATATACAGCATGATAACAGCTTTCAACAGTTTCATTAGTAGACCATAAGCCTATTGAAATCGCCCTCTTACTACTTTGAACACAACCTTTGTCACACAACATACCTGCCCGTATGCGGATGTTGGAACCCTGGTCCTGTCCGGTAGGTGATGTTCAGGTCTCCCCGCCATTCCGCAGGGGCCTCGTTGCCTCCCAAGTATCTGTCGATCGATCGATCAATCAATGAAACAAACAATCAATTCAATTGATCGATCGATCGATCGATCGGTCGAACACAGAACCTTGAATTCAGCAAAAGCTCATAGTTTCGTCTCAGGTGAGAATGAAATCCTTTAAGACGTACCTCAGTAACTCTATGCCGACCCCAAAGCCGATAGGATGAACGGGGATAGTCGGAAGTCCCGACACTACCTTAGCTTCTTCCTCAGACAGCCTGTATGCGTACTCTATGACAAACAAACAGAGAAACAAACATCATAGTAATAATTTAATTACTCAACAACTGTATGAGATGATAGTCATCCCTCGGAAGCTAACCTACTCGACATAAGAACTACATACATGTAGTATTGGAGATTATATGTCGTACTTGTGTCATAATGTGGAACAGCGAAACGGACGTGGTATGTTCAGAGTAGGGGAAGCTTTCCCGTACCGTTTGCAGGATAGAATGGAGTGAGAGGATCGCCCTGTGCGATCATGAGCGTTCCCCGCTGCACGCCGGAGGGCGGCAACATCCACCCGTCCGGGTACACGGGATAGCCCCGGGCGGAGTAGTCCGCGGGGTCCGAGTAGATGATGAGGCCCAGGCACCCGAACTGCTCGGCTTTCTCCGCCTTAAAGAGATTGATTAACAAATATTTCAGTTACACCCTTTGCAAGAGAACGAAGTGAATTAACAATTAACCAGAAAGAGCGCAACTCCTGCAAATATTGCTACTCCTACGATTACATTTTATTGGAACCATGAAAGTTTTTATCCTGCATGAGAGCAAGTTGACAAGCTTCATCCCTATTTATCAGGAAACCGTACCGTCTATCCTCGCTAATTCATTATTCAGGGAATCAAGTCATTAAATCTAATTAATAAGATGGTTACGGATGGCCTGTCATATGTAAAATATCCGTGCAAATCGATGTCAAATGAATGGGATCTCAACAAACTGGAAGCGGGCCAAAAAAGCCATGTCAGCTATGGCCATATTTATGGATTGTTGGTTGGTTTCCTTTATGGATTGTAGGTCGGTTTCCCTACTTTGTACATGTACTCATAGGACGTATGTTAATTCCTTATTCCTCCCCCTGGCTCACCTTGTCTCCCCTGAAGATGCTGCCGTACCTGGCGATACAGATCTTCCCCGCGGGGTCGATGTTCAGGTCGCGTTGGAGATGGAAGAAATCCTCGACTCTGCCATAGTTTACGTACACCAGCTCCCCCTGTAGGGCAGAAGAATAACAGCATTGACCTTGGAGACTACCCGACAAGTAAAAACGTATAGCAAAACCAAGCCTAGTAACCGCGGAAGAGAACTATGGGCAATCTCAATGTCGGAGTGAAAGAAACCATAGGCATATTTCTGGTGGCACAGAAGAGTATTCCCTTCATGAACCAAATGGACGAACCTGGTCTTGCCGTGCCGTGCCATCCGTCGATCATAATTGTATGTGGATGTGACCTAGACTCTACTACCCTTGCTTCAATAACTGAAACAAATAGTAGAATTTGACCAAATGCCTAGCTTTACAACTCTATGATCTCTGTGGTCAAATTCTAGTATTTTTTGGCAAGCAAAGTAGTCTGACAGAGACTAGATCGCAATCCTGTAGTTAGTAAAACCGGTTCGTACCTCCACGTCTCCGGAGCCTGAGTAGGCGTTGAACGGCGGGACGATGTTCGGGTCGGTTTGGTACTCGTCCAGGGGAGCCTCCTCCACCTGCGACTGGATGACTACCGTCCCGTTAGCCTCCATCAGCGTCACTCGGCTCGGGCTGGAGGATACAAGGTACGGCAGCAATTTGTAACACCCTCTCCCTATACCTAGAAAACTAGCCTGGGTGCCAGACAGTTCCCTAGCCTGAGTGTCAACCTGTTAGCTTTCGTCCGCTACCCAAGGTGGCGGGGAGCGGACCTTGGGTAGCGGACGAAAGCTAATAAGGCTGACACTCAGGCTAACAGTTCCCATGATCTACACAGGCCAGTTCCTCGACTCCAGGTCCAACAAACGCAGGAGGCTACGTTCTGTAAACCCTTTCCGTCCTGCTTTCATTTTTATGTTAGGCATTTCCTAACCGTTTATAAAATTATGCCCAAAGTCCTTGCCAATTGAACAAGTCTAACGTGAACTTGTCGTATGAGCTGAAGAACAGATTTCGCATGGGCAGGCATTGCTAAGAACGCTGGTGCTTATTGATTGAAGAGGCATTTTTTAGAAATCCATTTTAAAGGGAAAGCAGCACATGAATAATCATCACGATGACACCAAGGTTACCTGTTATCGTCGCTGCTGGGGTAGGACAGCAGGATGTCGTACGGAGTCAGGCGCGCGGAGTCCAGCCCGTACTGCAGCCACCGGTCCCGCAGCTCCTCCGCCTGCCCCAGGTCCATCGGCCGCCCCGCGATGTGCGGCACCGACGTCAGCCTCCTGGGAAGGTCAAGTTCAAGGGACACAGTTATTCAGCTGGCGTATAACATTAATCTCCAAGCAGATGCTACGGTGGCAATACGGTATGTCCATGACATTGGCCAGAGGAGTGTCCATTAGCCACCGAACGTATACGCACAGCATGAATATTGTTGAAAACACGTTTGTTACGTTTTACCATTAATGCCATGCAGATTTAACGTTAGATGCTACAGTGGCAAGACGGTATCAAATTAGCCAGAGAAGTTTCCATTTATAGCCATTGGATTTGGAGTGTCCGTTATTAGTCGGTTTCTAATGGACACTCTTGCCACCGTAGCATCTGCTTGGAGATAAGTATAGTTGAAAATGCCGTTTTTTATGTTTTACAATTAATGCCATGCAGATTTAACCTGGCATGCCTGAAGAGGGTTGTTATTTATGGAATCCGTACATCTGTAACCAATGGATACAGGGCATAAAACCTCTTATCCGGAAGCCTAGCAAACAACCACAAACCTCAACACACACATCTGTTGTTCTTTCTGCTTTGATTTGCTGCTTTCTAATATATGGAGAATCAAACAAACCAGGTAATAAAGAGAGCGAACAGACCGAGAAAGATAGAGTGTGAAATAAAGGGCCATGTTTACCGAGCTGCACCGCCCCCTAGGCCCCTGCTTCTTACCACTTGTTACGCGTAATTTAGATAAATGGCTTTGCACAGTAACCCCGCGCTGCCAACGCTTATCAGGTCTGTAAAAATCCTATTAAACCTTTTTCCGGTTAAGGCCACAGAACACATCAAACGTAGAATTGTAGGTTGCTCGAGGTGTAACGGAGGCGGTGGTGGCTTCAGTCATGAACAGATGTACTGATGAATGATAGACATGTCGGAGTCACGGCTTCAGATGTTCAGCGAAGATTAACAATCTGTCATCACCACAGTACGCAGTGTTGGGGCCACTCTAACACGAAACGGCTGGTTTCTATACACGGTACATGGGTGAGGCATGTGGGACGAAAAAAGACGTTTTACAGAAAGCGCATTCATGGAGTTTCAAATTATTTCTAACAATTTATTCCGAGACAATTTACTCGTTTGTTGAAAACAAAGTTACATGTTTACTCTAGACGCAAGGTAAGCCCCACCCCTCAACCGTTACTTACGGGAGGGGCTGTTAGAGGTCAGTTCTAGATTACACATACTTAGTTACCTTGAATCCAAACTGAAAGCTACTGAAAGTACTTATGACTGTGTTCACTACAGCGGTAGGTTTACCCTAGAGCCATCTCAAGAGACCCCGTATAAATCGAACCAGAAAATCTGTGGAAGCTGCCACGACACGTATGAGGGTCTGCATGGGGGGGTCCTGGCAACGGTTAACGGTGAATTCAGCAGGGCCGATAACGCTTAACGGTAAATTCAGGACGGTCGGCAACGCTAACGGTAAATTGACAGACTTTTTTTCGTTCGAGCTGCACTGGATTTGGTATCTCGCTTTGTGAGAAAAGGTGATCACTGACAAAATTACGTATATCTTACATGTAACAAGAGATCTGAGATCACATACCTCCATGAAATATGGGCTTGACGTGTAAATGTAAATTTCCTCTTTAATTATGCTAATGACCTCCACATTAACATAATTAATGTATCGTGATGTTAACTTTTGATGAATTTACAATTTACACCAAGTAGGAAATTCCCATCATTTACCCATTGACTTTTCGCATTAATTATGCAAATGAGGTCATAATTTGCATTATTGGTATCTGTTGATGTTCCATCTGCCAAAGATTACATACATTACATGTATTAAAGTACTACAATGTAAAACACTGTAATTAGAGAATTTCCTCATTTATTATGCAAATAAAGTCCTCATTTGCATAATTTGCATTAAGTTATGTACATCTCTCTCAGCTACCTACCTACCAAAAATGATGAAAATACATTGTTCCTGTCTGGACCTATTGGCTTTTAAAGATTTTCCCCCGAAAGTCCCCTGCAGTTCCAGAACAAGCTGCTAGGGGGACCAAACCCACACCAATTATTCCTGGCAGGACAATCTATCTGTCACCCAAAAATCAAGACCATAACATGTTCAGGACAAAAGATACAAAAACCGGAAGTTCTGCTGCAGTACCAAGGTCATCCACCAGGAGGCCCATATTTGACCTTGACCTTTGGCTTCCTAAGACCTACCAGCATACCAAATATCATCACAATCCATAAAGGCGTTATGGAGTTATGCTGACTACAAATATGCGGAAACTCAAACACACACACACATAGACGCGCCAAAAACAATACCTCCATTTTAATGGAGGTAACTAGATCTCAGTGCCAAAATTACGTCAACACTGGGTGTTCATCCACCCTAACACTCAAATTTTCCACATCATAGCGCACAGAGGTCGCCTTATTCCCTGAGGAAGAACCTCTCATTAATCAAACCAGGTCGCAAGCCCGGGGCGGCCTCGACACAATCAGACATCTGTTACCCTGTCTGGCAGACTCCTCATTAAACCGGAAGTGCTGCTGCAGTACCAA